TGCTTGTGTTGATCTCGTCTTTATATTTATTACATTTATTACTTATATTAATTACTCAACAGGTAGTGTATAAAGTCAATTTGTTCATTATCAGTTATAATTCAGATCTTTATTAATACTTTTATTCTTCTTCTTTTTTTTGTTGACAAATTATTCATTATTAATAAGTGAAGAACCAATTTAAGTATAATGGGTCTCACTTAAATACACGATAGACAATTCATCATAAAAAAAAAATTCGAGAGAAAATATATTAAAGAATATCTCATTCCCAAGAAATTATCACACCACTAACTTGTCAATCATACAATTTGATTTTTTTATAAAAAAATTAATTTGACAAAATCACAAGTGAAATAAATATATGTATGATATATATCATTATTATATGCTCATTAATTACTCTCCCCACCTGATGCGACAAATTACCCACAAAAAAAAAACTGATGGCACAAATTACCCAAACAATACTTGTTCAAAAGTATCAACAATCCTATTTGTCTCCCTACTCATACATGATTTTGCAAAGTCATCTAAATTGTACCTAATGTCTAATATTTTTTTGGGTAAGTGACCTAATATCTTCTATTTTCATAATTTATGGGAAATTTTATTTTACCTTTTTTATAATTCATCCACAACTGACTTTGTGTCACCTTAACTTTGGATATTTTTTATTCCTTTTACTAAACTAATTTGGACTAGGAGGCACATACCCCTCTCAATTTTGGATTTTTTTATTTGTACCATATTTTTTACCATAATTTTGTTCAATTTATTACATTTGTCCCCTCTAATTTTTTTTAAAAATTATATATTTAGTCCTTTTTTATTCAAATTTTGTTTAGACTAAATGAAAACTAGTTTGGTTGTTTCATATATTAATTTGGTCTTGAGTTTTAATATATTTTTTATTATTTGATCTTAAATTTTTTCTTTATATTAGTTGGTGATTTTTTTTCTAGTTACATTTTATTCCTCATTAGACAAATTCCTGAATCTACCCCACATTCAATCGATAAGAATTGTTGTCATCCCAACTTTTGTTGTTGCTACGGCTAGAGGTTTTCCTTGTCAATCTTGTGAAATAATTTGTATTAGGGCTAATTTTATTGTTGCACCTCAAAAAATGCTTCGATTCTCAATTTACACGCTTAGACATTAAAAATATCAAACCTCAATGTTATGAATACTAACAATGTGGACGTGACCTAAACTACTATTCAATTTTTCGTTATAGATACAATTGTCTCAGATATAAGGATTATGTATGTCTACCACTACAGACATTTGTCTACGATAAATTTGACATCTTTTTATGTATCGAAAATAGAATTTTATTAACTAAATAGAAGTTAATTCTATCATGTGCAACTCATATAAGGTACCAACAGTCTATGAATTTATATATAACCTTTTACATCCGAAGCACTTGCAACTCACGTGCGTTAATTTATGACAAAAAATTAAACAATAGTCTGAATCATGTTTACATTACTATGAATTTATAATATTGAAGACACAAATTAAAAATCAAAATATCTTTCAAAATGCAAAATGAGATTTGCCCTTCGTATTATTATATCTTTGTTTCATATTCGTTGTTTATAACTTATTTTTCAACATATTGTTATTTACATGAAGTTGTAGTATAAATCCATACCTTGAAAGACGTATTTGTAAAACACGGCCTCAATAGAAAAACCTTGAAATATTCTTCTATTTAAACCACGTTTTTACATTAACAATGATAAATCAAAACAATAAGTTTTAATTGATGGTAAATATGGAAAAAAAAAACAAATACAGAGAAAAAAAGAATGGCAATTTCATATTTTATTCAAGCTTTGAAGAGATAAGTGTGTGTGTGAGAGACAGAGAATGTTTGGGTTTTAATGTGGTAAGGTTACGGTATTTTTTTTGATACAACGGTCAAGGGTGTTTAAGTCAGTTTATGCACATCTTAATTAATCTCTCTTCTAGTTCGGTCAAAGGTAGATCATCCACGCCGGAAGTAAAGTATTAATGAGAGATAATTCTTGCATGGCCTAATCTTAAAGGATTGTCAAGATTCGAATTCAAAACGTTTAAACTTTTAACTTTTTTTTGTTATCAATTGAGTTACCCTTGAAATTGCAAGATTACGGTATTGACATGGGTGTTATATTTTCATTGATTACCGTTGTTGATTTTGAATGAAATGATTTGTAATTGTTAATCAAAAAAATAATAATATAAAAAAATTGTACACATAATACATTTTGAAAAATCCTATATAACCCAAATGAAACCCAAAAATTAAAACTCAAATACATATTATCTTTTGGATGAGTGTGAGATAAGTGGGTCCCATTAAAAAAATTGATGGGACCGACTCATTTAAAGTGATAATATACATTTGGATTTCATTTAAATTTTATAGCATTGCTCATATATTTTTACTGGTTAGAAAGTAAAAATGAGGTATCTAAAAATACTTTTCAGTAACAGAATGGGATACGTTTTAACTTGTCCAAAAGAGGTAGGGCAAAATCCAGTTTATCCCATTGTGGTTTGGTCGTTGTGCACATCACCTCCTTGTGATTCAAAAATCGGCACATAATCCCCTTGTGATTTTGAAATAAAGTGTGACCGTTACTATTTCTATCAAAAGTGACAGAAATTGTAACACACGCGCTAAATTTGCAAGTATGAATGTAAAAAATTTAAGTCAAAGTCAAAGTTCAATCTAAAAGTCCAAATATACCCTTATGATCTTTTAAAAATACATTTTTTTATTTTCTTCTACATTTTACTATTAGAAAAAAAAATATTAGATTTTTCATCTTTATTTTACATTTTCCCGTTTTTGTGCCTCTCCGGTTCTCGCCTCCTCCTCTCCCTCTCTCTCTCTCTCTCTCTCTTGTAATTTTTCTTGTGATTTTTCGGTGGGGATGGTGGGGGATTTTTAATGGGTTTGGAGGTGAGTTTCAGGGGCTATTGGGAATGAGTTTTCGGGATTGTTGGGAGTCGATTTTCGGGGGTTTGGGGTGAGTTTTCAGGGGGGTGTTGGGTGGGTTTAAGGGGATTAGGGATGAGTTTCATGTATGGCATTAGGGGTGGGAGTTTCAGTAGTGTTGGGTTGTTGTTGGTAGAGGTGGGTTTTCGGTATGAATGGTTGGTGGTGGGTGGATTGCAAGGGGTTTGGGGGGTGGGTTAGGTGGTTGTTGGTGGTGGGATTAAATGGTGTTGGGTGGTTTTTCAGGTGTGGCGTTGGGGGTGGGGTTTTCGATGGTGTTTGGTTGTTGTTGGTGGGGATGGTTTTTCGGTATGGGTGATTGGTGGTGGGTGGATTGCAAAGGATTTAAGGGGTCGGTTTGTGGTGGGGTTAGGTGGTTACCGATGGTGGGATTAAGTGGTGTTGGATGGTTGATTTTGGGTAAAATCTCAAATATGTTTTTTATTTTTGTTTTTATAATTTTTTAAATATAAAATAATTGTCAAACATGTTTTATAGTTTTTAATTTTTATCACAGAAAAATAAAAACTAATTTTTTGCAACCGTGATGTGATTTAGTGGCGATGGTCAATGACCAATGATTCAGTGGAGAGTTGAACAGTATGTAAAGATACATTGGAGTTGGAGATGATGTGGTGATAAAATTTATTCAGATTTTAAGGAGGATAAGATGGTCTTTTTGTCATTGCCGTTAACAGTATTAGCTACGTATTTTAGTCTAAAAATACAAGAGAATTATGTGCTAATTTTTAAATCATAAAGAGGTAATGTGCAAAACGACCAAATCAAATCATAAGGGAGTAAACTGAATTTTGTCCACAGAGGTATAATGTTAACGTATTAGTCCTATTTAGAAGAATTTTGACCAAGTTTGACTGAATTACAATGTTTAGACTCATTATTTATGGAATGTCATCATCTTTCCTACTGTTATGGTGTGAGTTGTATAGCACTCTTACGGTGGTCCGTTACAACATAAGAAGCACACATTCACGTGGGGTCCATCAGAGAAAAATATTGGGTGTGTCACTAACGTCTCATTATTATTGTTATGTAGTATTATTATTTAATAAAAAGATCATAAATAAATAAGTGACTCATACGGATTCAAGTAATAGCCCTATTATATTATTGTAAGTGAGGTTCAACTTATTTATTTGTAGTTATATTATTAATGTTTTATTTGGTATGATGAAAAGTTAGAAAGATAGATGTTGGAGGGATAAATAAAATATTATGTTTGGTAAAAAAGGAAAATAGGAAGGATAGAAAAGTAGTTGGATTAACTTTCCTTACAACTCACTAAAATCAATCCCTACAAAATCAGAAGAAAAATAGATGAAAAATTAATTATTTGTATTGAGATGTATCTTATTTGTCTATATATTATGTATACATTAATTTCATATAAAAATTCAATGATGAAATAAATAAATATATATATATATATAATTTTTTTAAAAAAAAATTAAATTAAAAAAATATATTTTTTTCATCTTAACTAGAGGCCAAAATTTTCGACTCAATACGATGACACGACTTAAATTCAACACGAATTTTATGATACGAACTTGATTTTAAGTCGACACAAACTTGAAAATGACCTGACACTTGAACAAGAAATATAAAAAACTCATAATTTTATGATTCAATATGAATCTGACATGACACGACTCGATTGTCACTCCTAATCTTAGCCAACATCAAAAAAAATTGAAAAAAAAAAGTCATTTTTATTTTTCATCAATCCAACCAAACAAAAATAAAAAATATATATATTATTCTAATTTTTCATCCTCGAAATATCTCTTCTAATTTCTATCTTTCCTGCCTAACGGTTCATAAACGATAACAATACGTGTTAAGAAGGGCGTTGTGGCGCCATTACACCTAATGTTTACTCGTCCATCGGGATGGGGCCCACCAGCAAAAAAAATACGCCTAAAATGCCCTCCTCTCGTTGGATCCCCAGCGTCATCGATTATTGCACCCAAACCGTTGGACAAAAAGCGTCACTCAGACACACGCATACACAAACCCCGATCATCCCCACGCCCTTCCACCCTCTCTCTCTCTCTCTCTCTCTCATCATTAGTCGTGTCTTCCTGTCTCCACTTCTCTCCCTCTAATGTTCGGCCGGCTTAGACCTTCATTTAAAATCGAACAGATACAAGTACTTTCCTACGCTTTTTTTTAACTGTAGTGTTTGTTTGTTTGTTTGTGTTTTTATGTTGGTAGTGATGGGTCAAACCCCAAACTTCGAATCTCACAAACACTCGACTGAGTTCATTCTTTTCGCCGGTTGTCTGTCATGATATGTGGGTTTTCTTTTCTTTGTAGTTTAGTGGTGGGAAAAAGAAAGAATGGACCATGATGGTCAGTGCTGTTGTTGTTGGAGTGATGTTGGGGTTCTACAGGCACCGAGTTCGGCTTTTTTTTATAAGCACATTCGAGTACATACGCTTAGCTGTAAAAATATTCATTATTGTTTTCTCTCTAATTATGCCGCCCATATGACCAGATATTGACCCAGTGGACTCCGTTTCTTGTTTTCGAGGTTTGGTGGCCTACTTTTTTGGTCCTATTCAATTGATAAAGCGTTGATAATAATTGATTGTTGGATGTTTTGAATTGAATTGAGGTGGGCTTGAGTTTAGGAGAGAGATAGAAAGACAAGGGTCTGTCTGAAGTCATGATAATACCTGGTTGTGGGATGTTTGAATTGAATTGAGCTGGGCTTGAGTTTAGGAGAGGTGGAAAAAGAGGGGTCCGTCTGTTTGGGTCAGACGTCGTCATGGCTCCTGCAGGAAAGGTTTTTGAATTCTACCGTGAGGGCAATGAATGGTATACGTCTTTACTCTCTCTGTCTCTGTCTCTGTCTCTCTATAACCCATTTCTCAAATTTTTCTGTTCAATTTTCTTAAACTTATACAATAATTTTTCGAATTCATGGTTTTAGAATTAATAAACCCATATGCTTAATGATCTGGTGAATCGGTAGAGTGATCAATTTTATTGGCGTTAAGAGAATTATTGACATATGCTAATTCTCATGCTTATGACAGGTTCTGCAAGACAGGTTTGCCAAGTGATATCGTTATTTCAGTGGATGATGTAAACTTCCATCTCCATAAGGTATTGACCCTTCTGTTCACACATCAGAGCGCAAAGAATATTTAGCCTCTTTTGTAATGTATCTTTTATAGGCCGAATTTGAAACTTTGTTAATTGAAAATCTAGGTGGATTATACTTCTATGGAGATTGCACTTTCTTGTGAAATTGTTCTTTGTGTACACAACTCAAACAGGAATAAAATGTCTAAGGGAGAAACTTGCTTCAAATTAAAATTCAGTTGTAGACCTTTTCTGTAATCAGATATGTTAATATCAAAGCAATTTTAGAAACAGATTGAAGCAGTTTTATTCTTATGTTGCATAATATGGCTAGAACTTTAGCTTTTTGCCACAAATATCTTACTTAAAAATCTTCTCTAACATCCGTGGGAATCTATTTGTTTCTTCTTTACTCATATTGTTACATTTCTAACAAAAGGGCTGCAGGCTACCCTGAATTTATTATTCGCTATAATTATTTAACTAGTATCTAGTAAAAAAATAGGCAGTATTTATCTTTTTCACAATATTTTTGAAGGTAATCATTGGAAAGATATGTCTACTATTATATCTACAAAATCTATTCTAAAGGCAAAAAGGAAGCACAAAGTTCTTTTTTTTTTTTGTATGTGATTGATCGACAATTTCACAGGATAAAAAGTAACATACATGTGCATACCCTAAAATTTTCTTTTATATCGGTTTTTGCTTTGTGTTTATGTCATTTTCAAGAATTGTCTTCTTAATTAAGAATTATGAAGTTGTGAGGTTCCTTTTTGTCTGCCAAAAATCCAGGTGGTTCCTCTAGAACCATGAATTTATTGGATACAGATTATCAAAGGGTTAGTTATACCTTCCTTCTTGTAGAAGTTTTACTCTTTTTTGGGTAGTCTGAGGGATTTTAAATTTGGGGGTAATTTTTTGTCAATGTTCCTTCTGAAAATATGCATGACCTAGATATTTCGACCAAATATGGTTTGGTACAAGCAATACACCAAATTGTGTAATGTCTATGTGAATCCATTTCTTTACTCACATTGTTAAATTTCTAACAAAGGATGCAGGTTACCGTGAATAAAGGGATAATTGATGACCCTTGATGTAGGTAGAAAATATCTCATGTCATGCTTAGGTTCATATGTCAAAAGTGTGTACAACGATGAGGATACATAGTCAACCTTATTTTTATTTTTAGGTTAAAGTTTTACCTTATTTGCATAGTTAACCAGAGCCATTATGTAGAAAACTAGAAACCTTAATCATGAGAAATTCTAAGAAAGCCACAAAAAACCAAGGTAATAGAATCCCTTGCTTCCGAAATATGTAGTGATTTTGATGCTAAGTTTAAGTTTGAATCCACTTACAAACCAAACTTGTTCGACATAGGAAGTACGGTTACATGGGATACAAACACAGTATGATACGAACACAGTCAAATGACTAAAGGAACAGGATATGAGTACATTGAGGATACATTAAAATACATTATATCTTTATTATTTGACGATTTAATAATTAGAATTTTCAGTAAATTTTTTAATGACAATTTAAAAAAAGGCAATTTTATTTTCAAAAAACATAGGTTGTCCCACTATGATTTACCGACAAAGTAAACATGGTGAACTAAGGGAACGAGAACCAATATTTAACCAATTGGTTTGCTTAGAAGTAGTTGTTACCAAGAGATAGGATGTAATTAACCCATTTTATGTCCTTTTGGTATGTGTTAGAAGATAATGCTGCAGAAACAACCCTGTATTTTCAGTCATATGAGTTTTTCTATGAAAAGTAGAGAGAGGATTGGAGTGTTTGTCAATAAAAGTAGATATCATTGGAGGATTTTTCTCGGATGCCTATATCAAAGTTATATCACTATAAAATAAATATTTTATTAACTATTAAATACGGAACCTCAAATATCCAGCACTATCATCTTTGATACGGATACTCCAACCTAAAATGTTTTACAAAACTTTTTGACCCCAAATTTGTAGTATCTTACTTCCATGCATATCATAGAGTTCCACAACCAATTGATATTTCACTGTCGAGGGTGTAATACTCGAGTATACATGCTTCATAGCCTCCAACTATAGCTGTTCGAAGCACTGGCCTTTTTCTTTCTGGTCATAAAAGATTTTATTCTGTACTCTTTCCTCTCTCACGTTTTTTCTTCTGAAAATGTTGTTCCACTGGTTCTTGGTTATGATTTCCTCAGATCAAAATGGAAAATTATTAGCTGTACGTCAATAGTTTCATTTCAAAATTCCCTTGCATTCTTTTGTCTTCAATTCTTTTTCACTAGTTACTCTTTCCAACTAATTACATACTTCTTATCTTGTTGTCATAGTAAGACTTGTATGTCACTTCTTCTCTGCATGCTAATAAAATATAGAACCATGCATGTCTCTTCAGTTTCCTCTAATATCAAAATGCGGGAAGATAGCAACACTACTCGAATCTCTTGATACCCGTGAGAGGACTTCTACCACAGCTCTGGATGGATTCCCCGGAGGCACTGACACATTTTTGGTTGCAGCTAAATTCTGTTATGGTGCCCGGGTGGAATTGACACCAAGGAACATAGTAATGGTGTATTGTGCCGCAGACTACCTGGAAATGACCGATGAGTATGGAGAGGGTAACTTATTATCGAAATCGGAGAGTTTCTTCCATAGGAATATACTGCGGAACTGGAAGGATTGCATTTTGGCTCTCCAAAGTTGTGAGCCTGTTGTATCAAGAGCCGACAAGCTCCAAATAATCAGTAAATGTTCAAATGCTCTATCTATGATGGTTTGTACAGATCCTAGTTTGTTTGGATGGCCTATGATGATGTATGGTAGCTTACAGAGCCCTGGTGGTAGCATTCTGTGGAACGGAATTAACACTGGTGCAAGAATCCGAAGCTCAGAATCAGACTGGTGGTTCGAAGACATCTCTTATCTCAGCGTAGGTCTGTTTGAGAGACTTATTCGTACAATGGAAGCTAGAGGTATACGACCTGAAAATTTAGCAGGTGCCATAATGTACTATGCTAGAACATACCTTCCTGGATTGGGTCGGTGGCAGGGTGGACAAAGTGGCAAAACTAGAGCAGTTGCAAGTTTTAGCATGATACCTGCTGCCGTTGATCAGACGGTTCTAGTTGAAAGCATCGAAAAGCTGCTCCCCCAAAAGAAGGGAAAATCTTTTTGCCGTTTTCTATTGGGACTTCTTCGTGTTGCTTTGATATTGGGAATAAATAATACATGCCAGGAATCATTGGAGAGGAGAATAGGGATGCAGCTAGAACTGGCAACCCTAGATGGTCTACTAATACCTAATTATTCAGATTCTGATACATTATATAATACTGACTGTGTTGAACGGATAATTCATTATTTTGTGTCTTCTGAACCCAAGGTAACTTCATTTTCTCCATCATCATTTGACCTGCAAACTTCGCCATCACCCGGACCATTGAGGAAAGTCGCAAAGTTGATAGATGAGTACATTGCCGAGGTTGCTTGTGATGTGAACTTGAAACCTGGAAAGATACGGTCACTTGCGGAAGCCATTTCAGAATCTTCAAGAACTTTGCATGATGGGCTATACAGAGCACTGGACATATATCTCAAGGTTTGAATCAATTCACCAACTTTCAGCTATGCTTAGACTAATGGGCAGGTGGATGTCCCACGAAATGAATGTGAATATGCATCATGTTGTATCTCTTTTTTAGAGAATGGAATTGTCCCCCTATTATGTCGGAATGGAATGATTCCAATTTTGCACTTCTGTTCTGTTGCTGCAAACTACTACTTTTTCCTTGTCTTATATCTTGGATTTTCTTCCCATATTTTAAGAAACAACGAAGGAAAAAAAAAATACCTCTGTTAGCCCTTGTAGTTCTAACTCAATTGTTATATTTTCTATTTTTTTTGTTATTTTTCTCTTTTACTCTCTGTATCATGTAGAGTTGTTCTGTCATGTACAGTTTGCGTTTGGCATTTTGATATTTATAATATAATTTCATTTACTATCCAAAAAAAAATCTAACTCCTATCTGTTAAATTATAGTCATCTTGTAAGTTGGTCAAGTCGAATTATCCCAAATTATTAACGCCATATTACTTCTCTCTAAAATTTTTCATCTTGTTGGCAATCTGAAATCAGAGGCGCCCTTCTGGAGATGGTTTGTGGGTTGGACTTATAGATTGTGTGTATTTTTGTTTCTTTTCTATGTTGTTTTATTACAGAAGGAAAAAAGAAATCTCAGAAGCCAACTGTGTTGTGAAATGGAATCCTTCAATAAGGGAGGAACATTTTCTTCTGTGTCTTTCTGGGGTCATGGAGATCTCACTTTTCTGTTTGCAACCTTGCTGGTCTTCTGTCATTTCTTTATGTTGACATGTGCCGGCCTTTACATTTTTCTCACATAATGTTGTCGGCCTTTTTGTTTGTGACTTCAGCAACTCAATTGTTCGTGGATGCATACTCCTCTTTCTGTGCATACTGACGAAATTGTGTGAGAATTTTGCTGCATCAAATATTGAAGTTTTCTGAGCTCTCGTGGGCATCGTGCAGGCACACCCTTGGCTCTCAGAGAGAGAGAAGGAACAACTCTGCAATGTTATTGACTTTCAGAAGCTTTCTATCGATGCTTGTGCTCATGCATCCCAAAATGAAAGGTTGCCACTTAGAGTCATCCTCCAAGTCCTGTTTGTTGAACAGATGCAGTTAAGAACAGCTCTAACTGGCTGCCTTCAGGTCTTTGATCCTGAAAGTGCCCCTGCAGGTCCTTTCACTGTTCCAAGTGACATGGCTGGACAGATTGTACAGAGAGATGGGTGGGTGACAATCGTGCGTGAGAACCAGGTTTTAAAGGTGGACATGGAAAGGATGAGGTCTAGAGTTGGAGAACTCGAGGAAGAATTTAGTAAAATAAAGCAAGAGATGAAAAGAGTGACTAAATCACATAGTTCCCTGAGTTCTCCACGTTTTGTTGCCCGAAGAATGGGGTGCAAGCTTCTTCCCCGTTCGTCAGATACTCAAGCAGACGTTATGGAAAGCACAGGGCCCACTCCAAGAACATCAACTGAGCAGGCACGACCGTCCAGTCAGTCCAGGCATCGGAAAAGTTTCTCATTGTTTTGAGTATTATGAAGAGGCAAGTCTCCGCCTTGACATATCAAACATGGTCTACATTTTCAATGTGTACTGTGCCTGAGAATTGTTTTCAGTTGAAATGCCTGGAGAATAAGCGCGGCTTCTCCTGATATGGATTGAAGTGCTATTCCTGATATGGAGAATTTTTTCAGCTTTTGAAGGGTTGAAGGCAGGCATTTAGAGAGTAATGGTTATCTCGGGTTGAAGGCAATGAAAAAAGGCCAAATGTAAAAAATTTGAAGTGGCAGTTTGGGCTCTACTCATGGTACATGAACTATTATTAAGGTTGGAGCTTCCACACAATGATACCAAGTTCCTCAGACATGTTCAGATTACAGAACAAATTATACTTGCATTTTCCAATTTTTAGGTCATACTTGTACATGTCCATGAGAGTTCCTCAAAACACTGGGAAGATATGAAAGATTTTCAGGCTTGTCCAAATAAATTGGGCATGATCTTGACAGGGATTGGTATGTGAATAATATATCTGTATATTGCTTACATTTTTTTATCAATGGTCTTTCTCCTGGAAGCTTTTGTATACTGCAGAACATGATTCATGATTCATGATGTCCCGGGTTTGAGTCTCACCGCTGTCCTTTTTGGTGGATTAAGGGACTAACGTCATCAATGGATCGATAAATATAACGATGAATGATTAAATTTGATCAAAAAATAAAAAAATCAACAAAAATTGGACGTGAAAGAATTGGAAGGTAATATACCCATTACACAAGTGTAGCTTTAAAGTGAAAATACATGAGAAGTAATCATCAAACCCTTTAATAATCTAACTAGAATCTTGATTCTTGAACAAAAGAATATTATAATTTTCATTCTAGAATGTATATGTGTTTTGAATTACTTTAAAAGCATCCCCTGGCTATATGGAAAATGAAAAATCAAATATTTTTTCTAAATTATAGCACTATTGGGAAGAGAAAGTGAAGAAGTTTGAAATTATAGGTAACATAATTAGTTCTCTTATCGTTCATTGGCAAGGCGAGAATATGTACGAACTTGTCTAGATCTTGTATTTTCCGCAGAGTTCATTGGTCAAAGTAATGATTTTCTTCTCAAAGTAATAGATGGTATTTTTCTTTTTTTGACATGTCTCATTTTTAATATAAATTTAGATCTGATTAAGGTCTACTATAAGCTTGAATAATTGTAATCTTAAAATTAAAGGGTGTCCGGCTCGAATACAATACAAACTTAGCATAAGCCAACTTTAAAATTAACACAATCAATATCCCACTTTAATATTAACACAATTAATAAATATGTCTAGTAAATAAGCTTAATTAGTACTTGACACTTGTAGCATATTAAATTTTTTTTGTGTTAACATTAGGGGTGTAATTTGGGCGGGTTGAGAGGTCAACTCTAGTCTAACTCTAGGTATTTAATCTTCAATCCTAACTCTAACCTACCCCAATTCGAGGTACTCAAACCGAGTACTGCCCAAGTTAAACATCGAGTTAAGCTTGAGTTACTTAATCCAGGTTAATTTTTTGAAGTGTAAGATTTGATATTTTCAAGTAATCTGAGATAAAGGGCGAGACACGTATATAAAAAGAGAGGGAGAAGTAATGAGTAAAAGAGAGAGGCTAAGAGTCTGAGATAATTCAAACGAGTGACGATTGAAAGAGGGAGGTAGAGAGAAGGAAGAGTGACGAGTAAAGGAGGGATTCGAGAGTGATGGAGGCACATGTGTGAAGATTTGAAGTGAAGTGAAAGTCTGGATTCGAAAGAAAAAAAATAAATAATAATCCTAATTAAATATATTTATATATAATCGGGTTTAACCCAATTTTAATATTCGGGTTGAACTCGATAATCCAAGGCCTCAACCCTAGGCTTGTCTAATTTTAGTTCGAACTGGTGTTTTTTTGTCCAAATCTAACCTAAGTATGAAAAATTTTAACTCAAATCTTATTTTTCTCAAGTTGAACTAAGGTTGAATTCGAGATTGTCTGCCTAAATTACACCTCTAATTAATAAAAAAACAATAAAAATTAAAATAACAAAAATTAAAAATAATAAAAATAACACGGCACTACAGGATACGTTACGATATGATACAACACCTTTAAAGTTTTTTTTTTAAAAAAAATAATGTTTATTAAGAGAGTGAAAAACACAAAATGCCACCGTTGTGAAAAGAAGTCGTCTTCTACACTGACTCAGACGGCTTTTGTAATTTATCTCAGTCCACCTTCTCTTCCCCTCTCTCTCTCTAGATTACTCCTCTCTGTTTTCTTTTCTCTCTCTATATGATCATACTGATATATACGTGCATTTTGTCTGTATAATTGTATATTCGATCTCTGGTGCGATCCTTGCCGTTGGATCGAGAAAGGGGCGGCTGGGATCTAGAGAGGGAAAGGTCCTCTCGGTTGGATCTGATAGGAGATGGCGCTGTCTGGCATGAGAGGTCTATCAGTATTCATCAGCGACGTACGTAATTGCCAGAACAAAGAACAGGAACACCTTCGTGTTGATAAAGAGCTCGGCAATATACGTACACGCTTCAAAAATGAAAAGGTTAGGGTTTCTCTCTCTCCCCTACTATATAAATATGTCTGTGTATATATGATCAACCTCATCTAATATATATGTTAACGTTTTGTTAATATTTGTTGGCGCCGTAAATTTTTTTTGATCTACCTTCATGTTTTAGCTGTAGCTAAAAATCAGTGAAATTTTCTGACTATTTACATTTGGGTTCAATGCCTATTTTTTTGTTGCAGAACCTTGCAGTTTTATTTAGTAGGTCATTTTTAGTCGATTTGGAGTTGCATTTTTAAATGTGAGGTTTGAGTTTTCATCTGTTTTGGAATGATGGCATCCGAAAAATAATTTGGAAGAAACTAAAAGTGACTTCAATGAGCTTTTTCTGCAAGCAATTTGAATTGTGTAATCTGTTTAGTTCTTTGATTTGGTTTTAGGCTTGTATGTAGCACAATACACGTGGAAGAAGAGTTGGTGCACCAAGAGCAATGTTATTTACGAGAATTGTGTTGATTGAGGATTTTAACTAGCATTTTATGGTTTGCATTAGTAACCTGGTGTTTTATTTCAATAGGAATTATTAACCCAGTGTTCAATTCACTTCCTTGTACTGTTAACACAGCCAAGAGTTAACCATTGATTGATGAGCCTGATAATGACTGGCTTAGAGAGTTAGACACATTTAAACTAACGACTTACTTGGATATCATTTGAAGTTTGTTTACATTAGCATGGGTAGGGTGCATGCAGTGTACAGCACATGAATTTCTTGGCTGAGGGTGTGCTATGGAACCCTAGACTTGGTAGTCCTTTGCAATTTCTATAGTTGGAGTCCATTGATGCTTTTCTGAGCCCTGGTTATGAGGTGAGCTGAAGAAATCAGATTCTTTAGGGTTATGTCAGTTTTATATAGATATAGAGGTAAAGAGATTTTTTTTTAACTTAAGAGAAAAATGGGTTGTGCCCTTTTGAGAGATGTGTTGCACTAAGATCCATGAAGTTGACTTTTTGAGAGTATGTTTGCTTTAGAGGCCATTCAAAGGTGATAAGGTTTTGTGAGGCTGAAGGTGGGCTGGATTGTCAACTTTCTTCTATTGCATTGTCTGGTGGCTAGGGAGCTGTAGACCATGTTCTGTTCCTTTTTTAGTGTCCATTAGTTGAGAAATGGTTTATTGCAGTATCTTTTGAGTAGATGGAAAGGGGTTCAAGTTCTTATAGTTATTTTGGAGGTTGGGATGTGGCATCCTTGTATGTAGTGTTTATGGACGAAGAGGATTAGAAGATCCTGTGAGAATGATGAGCTTCCGACATGCCACTTGAATTGTATTATTTCAATGACTTTATTCTGTTGGTGCAAAGGGATATTAACCAATTAGCATCGACTCTTTTACAAAGTTTCTGAGTAACTTCTATATTATGTGTTAACATTTGTAATCCTTTGCATTCTTCATGTGTAATGAAGTCTCATCCCCATTTTTAGTAGTTTTGATAACCATCTTCTTATGAACAAAAAGGAGAAAGGACATGGTTTTTGCTCAGGATTATGATTTGGTGATACAAGGACGATGATTTTTGGCATTTGATTTTGATTTGAAAGTGTTTGACTTGGGTATGGTATTTTAAATAGTGTTTCATTCATAAGCATTGGTGATATTTTCAATCTGGCAAATTGAGAGTCTATTGTGGAATCTTCACTATTTCATCCATCCCCTTATAGATGCTTCTAAAATATGTGACAATTAGAGATTGCCTGAGGTACGAGACAGCTAGATAAATTCTAAGAAATATGGATGCAGACATTTGGCACAAATAATCACATGACATAAGCATGTTGACATAAAAATTATGAAGCACGAGGATGTGTTGACTGTAAATATTTATGTATGACCATTCGATATTAGACTTGCGATTTTTAAATCAAATCAAACATAAAAACAAAAGCTCTCAAAGAATAAGAAAGCACAACATTAATCCTATCCTTCCAAGTTTCAAAAGTCACTCAACTCCCAAAATTACCCCAACATCCACACGACAATAAAATTCCAATTGAAGAAAAAATAATCTTGGCTATTCACTGGACACCACAAGAAGATGATGGAGGTCATGGCCGCGTAAATGGAGGTCATGGCCGTGTGTAATTAAAAACTTTAGTTTCTACTTTTTCTCTTTCTATTTTTGTGAAGTTAAAAACTTTAGTTTCTACTTTTTCTCTTTCTATTTTTTTTACCTTTTCTAGATCTATTAAATTATAAGATAGCAGCTTTTTCTTATCTTTTATTTTATTCGTTTGTATTTTTTAATTTAGATACAAGGTTTTTTGATATTTCATATCGTTTTTTGTTTCCAATATAAAAAAAACCTCATTGTGTCCCAAATCCGGACCAGTTTTCTCGTGTTAGAATGTGTTTGGAGCATGTATGTTTCTCACGTGTCCGACTCTAATATGCATACTGGGGAGAGGTGTCCATGTTTCCTGGGATAAAATAGCCGGCACAATGCAGTACCCTGAACGTAGGGATAACAAATGCTTCTCCATTAACAGGAGCCTAAAAACTCAATTTCCTGAGTGGTTTGACAGCCATTTGACCACTGCACTTCTGGTTGCAGTTTGACAAACAAAATTTGAGATGTGGTGCTGGTGAAACTAACTTATGAGTGGATGACAGCGGCACAGCCTGTTAACCTCTGTCATTGTAGGATTGTAGTGGTTAATGGAAAGGGGTTACATCTTCCTAAATCTCATGGGTGTTGACTGTTGAGGTAGCAGAGGTGTGCTGAAGGAAAAGTAATCATGTGTATCGAGGAAACGATTTTTAAGATTCTTTTGCTATTAGGACTGTGACGTATGCCAAAAATGAAGTAATATATGGAACTGATTGCATCGCATGCTGCATGAATATTTAGTGTTATGTAAACTTGAATGCATCCATGATTTTCTAAGGGTATTTATGAGGTTTTTTGGATTCTTAATTTAAAAAAAATTGCCACCAGATGGGTGGAAGTTTGTTGTGGCTATTTTGATAGATGTCCTTTGCCTATATAAGTGCCAATACAGCAGTTTAAAGATTGGAGAAAGATACCAGCAGACTGGCTGAGATGCTATTACAGACTTGAGCAATATCTGTCCCAGCCTGGAGGCTCCTAGATAGGAGCTTAAAATATAAAATTCTAAATGTGACCCACTTAGAAAAACCTTTTTGTACTAGCAGTGTCAAGCATCTCCAGAGATAGGATTAGGACAAATAAACCTCAGTCTCTATGGTTACTACAAGTTCTATGGGCACTTTGCTAATTGATAGGGAGAAAATATAATTAGATATATTGTAATGTACCAAGTATGACTATTTGTAGGATTTTGCTTGAGTATCATCTTCCACTTTGTACCATCGTTTTCATACAAAAAATTAGAAAGCTAATGTAATTTATGTGTTTGTTGAGTCAATTTAGTTGTGTACATTTCTTATGTTGATCTCTATAATGTCAAAACTATTTTGTTCTTTAAAGTGAAAACCAATGTTTCCTGGATCATGGGTCGCTTTGGTATGTGGTACAGGTACATGGTGCGATACTTTCTTAGGTAAGTGGTACAATAGGGATAAGTTTAGTTGGTACGATATTTTGGATTGCAATTCATTTTGAAACTCTTATGTAGATCGTTTCACTACTATACAACATTATACATTACAGAACATTAAAACATTAAGTTAGTTACCATTTATCTTATAGTTGTGCTTAATTTTCTATTGTCTAAAACAATATATAATTATAAATCTCTATACAGTAGTCAATTAATATGTATTTTATATCTACATGTTATAGAGTGAAATTGATTTAGGGTTAGTATTATAATTTGGGGTCGTCTATTTTGGTCATCTAGATTGCAAACCCACCATATTTGGGATCGATGTACCCAGATCGTGGGTCTTTAAGGGTTTAGTGAATTGTGGTAGCCATGGTAAAAACCATCAAGCAACCCATGTCATCTTCAACAAGAGGAAAAGTTTGTGATGTTACAAAACTTATTTGCAGATTCTTGCCCCGGAAATGATCATTTTAATAATAAGCAGATGGTATTATAGTTTTGGTGAATAGGACAAAAGTCGAGGTTGTTGAATTAAGCATGAAGAATGTAATCTCCAAGTTGGAGGTTCTGAGGGTAGAAGACATTTGTTGCTCTTAATTGTTCGGCCTCCATTTCATCAAAGCTCGTTGGATGGCATTTAACACGATAATGCAGGCTAATTATGTGTCTGGTGGTTGTGGCATATCCTTGATGACGTTATTACAGATCAATGTCCATCAATCAGAGACTGGGTGAGCTTTGACATAAATGTTTGCCTTTGAGATTGTTGTGGCTAGTACTTCTAGTGCATAGCTTTGCTTAAAGGGTTTCTCTCCTTACTTCAAGGGTTTCTCTCCTTGCTTCAAGGGTTGAGAATTGGATTCTGCTTTTTATCTATTTTGGAGTTTATGTCTTGTTCAATTTTTTTTTTTTGGTAGTAAAATAATCTCATTTATACTTATTAGTCAGTTTCATTTCTTGAACTCAGGCTTTTTGGAACTCCTATTCCTGATTTATTTGACCATATGTTTCAAGCAGTGATTACAGACCTTTTTTGTGCATTAATGAATGCTTCATAATTTGTTTCTTGTTCATTATTTCACCATCTAGTATTTGTTTTTGGGGCCTTGCTGTTGTCCTTGTATTGTTTACGCCTGCTCTTGTGGATATTTGATCTTTGTCATACTTGGTAGGTACAAATGCTATTTGGATAATTGGAAGTGACCTGACCATTGGTTATTGATTTTTTTTGTTCTTTTTTTGACAGGGTTTAACACCTTATGAAAAGAAGAAATATGTTTGGAAAATGCTTTATATTTATATGCTTGGTTATGATGTGGATTTTGGTCACATGGAAGCTGTTTCTCTAATATCCGCGCCAAAGTATCCCGAAAAGCAGGTTATACTTCTTTACTTATTTATCTGACAACATAATGCACACTCCGATTCTATCAAACAAAATTGGTTTCTTCTCTTCATGGTGGTTGGCTGTTGGTCGAATTGAACTAGTTATCTTATCAAGTGCAAAGTTTATATTGTATGGATGCTCATAGTGGCATGTTTGTTTTGAATTATTTATATATAAACTGATCGTTAAAAGTGGATCAGTATGCTATACATGCAGGCATTAATAATTTTGCTATTTTATGAAAGAAAGGTTTTTTATGATACTTTGAGCCGTGGATCTTCATGCATTACAATTATCCGTTTATCCTATTTAATTTCTGTTTTACAATTCAATTTTAACAGTTCATTTTTTATTTAATCAGCTTTTTTCCTTATAGAAATTCTGACTTGCTTTTTGGGAACTTTACTTATTAGTAATGAACACCTTGGACAGTTCTGTGCACCTTGCTTTGTTTTTGTTTTTTTTTGGAAGGTACCTTGCTTTGTTTTGATCTCTACATACTACTAGGACGTTCATTTTCTTGCGGCAAACTTTGCAGCACATACTTCTCATGCAATTTTTTTTAAAAAAATCTACTATAATGGTATCACTCAGAATTATTTTCTTGTTATCTGTGTTAGGATTAAGGATGTCACTGCAACTAGTTGATTAACTTCTCTATTGTGCTATGAATGCTGCAGGTCGGATACTTAGTGACATCAACTTTACTCAATGAGAATCATGACTTTTTAAGATTAGCAATTAATACAGTCCGCAATGATATCATAGGTCGTAATGAAACTTTTCAGTGCCTGGCGTTGACTTTGGTATGGTTACATACCTGTTTTAATTTTCAGATTTCTTTTGGGGGTTCTTGTATGATGATTTGTCATTCATGCTGTTTTTTTCTCAAAGCATATCCTGCTGTAATATACGCAATCAACTATTGTTGGTTTGTACCCAACGTCACATACTCTCGAATCCTTATCTATATCTGTGCAGGTAGGGAATATTGGTGGGAGGGAGTTTGCTGAATCACTAGCACCTGATGTTCAAAAGTTACTTGTAAGAAAATACTATTTTTAGATTTCAATTGGTGTTAGTCTCATGTAAAGGATGGTAATACTTTGTTTGCTGCAGATTTCCAGTAGTTGCAGACCGCTTGTGAGAAAGAAGGCTGCATTGTGTCTCCTTCGTCTCTTTAGGAAAAATCCTGATGTCGTAAATGTAGATGGCTGGTGAGCGGGAATGTTGATTCTGCAGCAGTTTGTGGTACTACTTAGACTTGTGCTTCTATGACTAAGTCGTCTTTGGCTCATTTTGCAGGTCAGATCGTATGACACAGCTATTAGATGAACGTGATTTGGGTGTTTTGACATCTTCTGTGAGCCTTCTTGTTGCTTTAGTGTCAAATAACCATGATTCATATTTGAGTTGTCTACCAAAGTGTGTTAAAATACTGGAAAGGCTTGCTAGAAACCAAGATGTTCCTCAAGAATATACTTACTACGGTATCCCATCTCCCTGGCTTCAGGTTTGTGTACTCGTTTTCTGGAACTCTTTCACTTACATGATAAGGGCCAAAGTTACACTGTCATACTTGGTAGGTTCGGTAATGTCTGAACTCTTGATTCTTCATTGAGCGGGATGAATATTAACACAATATAAACCAACACTTGGTGTAAGTAGTGTGTGAGAATTAAGACACTGGATAATCAAATCATCAAATGTAAATGGATCAAGACTTTAGTGTGATTTTAGAACTATGACAGGGGGAAACCTGATAGAAGTTGTTAAGATATGGATGCTATGATTGTAAAACAATATTGTAATGAGTGAGTGGGGAGAGATGCCCAATTCACTTGGCTATAGTTATGGTGGAAAACATATCTTGAGGGGGAATTATTATTATTTTTGTAATTATGGTTTACCTCCATGTGGTTTCACTTAGTACACCCTGTCTCCCTATTCTTTTGGGAACCCTAACTCCATTAATGGAAAGACAAAATTACCCTTCTCTGCTTATAATTTACTTTTAACTGTCTGATTATAGACCCAAAAAGTTTGTGTGTCTGGGGAGAGAGAGAGAGAGACTTTGAAATCGTGACTAGATTTGTTAGGAATTGTGACTTCATATAAGGAATCATGACTTCATCTGCGGAATTGTGACTTCATCTGCTTTGTGACCTTGACAATGAGCCTCAACAACAATATTATTGTGTTCCAGAATGCAGAACCGATTGAAGCTTCATGGACCGTCCTCCCTAACTGAGGAAGAAAAGAAGAACAGAGGAGAAAAAGGAAGAAGAAGAAAAGAAGAACAGATAAAATTGAGTAGAACCAGTGCACTGCCATGGCTGGTTCTGTTCTGCTCATTATCATCTTCTTCTTCTTCGCTTCTTCTTTCGTCATCTCTTTCTCCATCCTCATTTTGCCAGTCGACTGTTGGCTTGGATAGATGGGTATTTTAGTCATTAAAATTGTCAATTTAGGAAGGAAACGATTCCAACCCACCTCAAAATTACTATGTGTGGGGTTCAATTTCCGTCAATTGGGGCAGAATTTTAAGAGAGTCACGTGGGTTGAAAATCACATGAGATTATGTGTAGGTTTCTAGAATATAGAGGCACAATGTGTTACTAGGCTAAATCACGGTGAGGTAAGTCAGTATTACCCCTCATTATCGTCATCAATATTATTATTGTTGTTGTTTTCATCTTCATCACTATTGTTAGTACAATCATTGTTATTGTGATAAACATATCCAGGAGAATGCACGTGCTCTGGTGTACATTTTGTTTGCTTCGGGTTTCTACATTCCCTATTGATTTTGTGCCTGTGGAAATAATGCAAAATAGAATGCTTGAGGTTCATTTGATTTATTTTTGCAAGCAGTAGTCTAATGAAAGACTGATGTATTAAACCCTACATGTGATGCTTACTAGTATAGGGCTCTCTGCAGGTTAAGACAATGAGGGCTCTTCAATATTTTCCCACTATTGAAGATCCAAACACTAGAAGATCATTGTTTGAGGTGCAAGGCTTTTGTGTTTGAGGGAGATTATTATATTCGTCAGTAGGTTTCATAATTCTAATGAACTTTTTTTGGTTATTTTAGGTTTTGCAACGGATACTAATGGGGACTGATGTTGTGAAAAATGTGAACAAGAACAATGCATCACATGCTGTTCTCTTTGAAGCCCTTGCTCTTGTAAGCCTACACTCAATTAAGTTGCTCAGTATGATTGGTAATTGCACATAAAAGTTGTGCTAGCTTGTATGTTTTTCAAAAGTTTCATATGTTTTGTGGCAGAAATGGACTCAAAAGTTAATAGTTTATGTGGGTGTATATGCGTGGTGCGCGCGTCGGTGCACACCACAGTAAAAGTTGGACAATCAAGCACACAAAGAAGTAAGTTGCATCTAAGTCGGAATGCGATCTTAAAATACTTCGAACTTCAAAGTGTGTGTGTGAATCCTCAAAAACTACTAATCCTCATCGTCAATCCAATTGTGAAGCTATTGTTTTTTATTCTTTAATCATGGCAACTTAAAAGTGCCAATTCTTACATCTATTTTCATAAGGAGAGTGCTTAACTTTGAAGGTTCCCACATCCTTGTGGTTTGTGGGACTCAAGAGCTCCCCTTTGGGGATCTTTAGTGAACATGATGTTATGGTCAAGTTTCGGGCCAGTTGACATCCAACTTCAGAGAAGGTATACTTGCTATAGAATTCCAGCATACTAAAAAGGAAGATTGGAGATCTAGGGTCAGCTGTAAATGTGCATGTCTAGGACAATTCTAGTACAGTTTATTTTGCTAATCTATGGTCCACAATCTATGTATAATTTGGAAGTCTTAGTCCAAAAATGTTACATATTTGTACAAAATGGATAACATAATGGAAAGGTAAACAGTCACTGACTCTAGGTATTGCAACTCCGATCCCTTTAATATGAATTCTTTGCTTTACACCTTTACCCACTAAACTAAGTGGCTAATTAGTTATTGAATTGACCTATTATGAAATAGGGAAGTAACATGCTGATGTGGCACTAATGGTGTCATATTGTGCACAATTTCACTCAGTGGGCCGGGATCAACATGTTGGTACTTTACTATTCCGTGAGGTTACATATAACCAACACGAAATTATATTATAGGATAAATGATTTTTTTATTTTCCTATAGTTTAAATAAATGATACTTTTAATTCTTTATATGAGCCTTGTTTTGCGAACATTTAGGATGCAAAGTTTGTTAATCATAAAACCTCTGTGAATTGATAAAAAACTATGGAATTCAACTAAAATAGACTTCTCCTAATTTTCTGGGATCTGGTTTCATCTTGTTCCGTCATTTTGTTCTATCAAGAGCCCCATTTTATGTTCAACCACAAGCTACCGTATCCTTTTTATTACTATTCATAGAGTTAATTTCAACTTCTCTCTACCCATCACCTTATGGTCAATAGATAGCACATTACTCTTACTAACTAGTCTGGTAATAGATATTCTCTAACATGTCTAAATCACTGAAGTTGATTCTATTCTCAATATATCTCTTATTGGTGTTGTTTTTACTTTTTCACGAATATACTCCTTCCTAATTCAATCGTGTTTTGTATATTGGCAACAAAATTTTATTAATAGTAAAAAGATTACCAGAAGAACGAAATCCATATGTAAGGAAAAAGTAAAGAATGGAAATAGGGGTACTAGTTACATTTCTATTTATTGAGAAGTTCTACATTACTTTTATGAGTCAACACTATATCTGTAGTAAATAATATACACCATATAACCTCATCCTTAAGATGCCTAATTAATTCATCCATAACTAGGGAAAAAGATACGGACTTAAAGTAGAACCCTGATGTAACCTACTGTGATTGAGAATACACTGGTCTCCATGTAATTGTTGTCACTAGTCACTACACTCTTGTACATACCCCCAATCACATTGATATACTTATTTGCAATATTTTTCTTCTCCAAAACCCAACATATTTCTTCTCTACGGACTATCTTATGTATTCCTTAAGTTTACAAAATCCATATGACGATCTTTCTTTTTCTATCTTTACCTTTCCGTTAGTCTCCCAAGTATACAACTTCCATTGTTGATCTACTTGGCATAAATCCAAATTGATTTTCAAATATTGTTTTTGCAAGTCTTAGTCAATGATTTAGTCGCTGTTGGATCAGTCTCTCCTAAAGTTTCATTTTAAGACTCATTAATTTACTAGATCGAAAAGTTGTGTAACCCTGTGTGTCTCTCTGATTCTTGTATATGGGTATCTAAATATTCTTCCTCCACTTAGCAAACATTTTTGTATATCAAATTAAGTGATTTGTTTTCATTTATTTTTCATGTTAGTCTTAATGAGTATGAAAGCAGTAGTACTGTTGATTATTCTAGTTGAACATTTTAGTTATTGGGTATGAACACAGAGATACTATTTTATAGACACAAGGTCTAGTGGAATATCTTAATCAAGGGATTACTAATCTGCCAGTGCTGCAGCCTAACTAGTCCTCTGTTTACCTCAATGCCTTTTCAGTCTTTTACACCATAATAATGCAACTAATAACATGCTGCAATTTTTGTCAGTTTATGGAGAGACCTCTCTCTCTCTCTCTCTCTCTCTCTCACACACACACACACACACTCGCCCCACGAATTATAGGTATGTGTCGCTTTAAGAATGTCTTTTCTCCCAATTCAGGTTTTTGGGTGGCTTAGTATGGTTTTGTGTATTCTAACTGCCTTATCACAGGTCATGCATCTTGATGCTGAAAAGGAAATGATGTCTCAGTGTGTTGCCTTGCTTGGGAAATTTATTGTTGTTCGTGAGCCAAATATTCGATATCTTGGTTTGGTAAGTGGTGGGAACATGATTATTCACCCCATTATGTATTTTCATTCTTTTCCCACCTTACATGTTTTTGTCTTATATTTGCTTCTGCAGCTTCTCTTTTTTGGGATGTAGCAACCTATGATTACAGCCTACCAAACTTAGGCATCTATGTCAGACTTGCTTTCTGATTGCATGATCTCTGTATTTCTCTAACGCAGGAGAATATGACCAGGATGTTGATGGTTATGGATGTTCAGGACATTATCAAAAGACATCAAGCCCAGATCATCACCTCATTAAAGGATCCTGATATCAGGTATAGCTCGTGTGTTCTGTGATTTTTCAGACATGTTCTTTCATTTTCATCGTTAGCCACTAGAAACCGTAGTTGGCTGCAAGTTAGGCAACAGCTGGGTTAAACTGGCGTTTATTCCTTTGCACATTTTTTCGATGGGAATTACTTTGCACGTGTTGTGTCACTAAATAATGCTAGTGTATTTGTTTTAAGTGTTTTCATGTAAATCTTGTACTTCAAGCCGAAGATGATAAGTTTCCTTCTGCTTCTGATTCCCCACAGTATTCGAAGACGTGCCCTTGATCTGCTATACAGCATGTGTGATATATCTAATGCAAAGGACATAGTTGAAGAATTATTGCAGGTGACAAATTACTGGACTGTACACAGAGCATCTTTTATTTTTAATCCCTGCTTTGGCAATGTCTTCAGATTATCAGTAGTTGAACCCTTTAAAATTGAAGTAAGCATGCCACTAACACTCATTGGTTTTCAGTATCTCAGCACAGCTGACTTTGCAATGCGTGAAGAATTGTCGCTAAAAGCTGCTATTCTTGCAGAGAAGTTTGCCCCTGATCTATCTTGGTATGGGTTTTTTTTCCATGAGACAGCATGTAATTGTTATCAGATGAGTCGTAGAACATGATACTGTTGAATTAAAGTTTTACATTTGCGAAAAGTATTACAGAAGAAAAATACATGTGAACTGGCCTATGACTTTCGAATCATAAATCTCTATGATGAAAGGTGACAAATCAGTCACTACTGTTTGTGGTAGTACAGAAAATGAGAGATTGCCCATCAATTATTTGACTGAGTTTTGCCTCAAGTGTAGCTGCTAATTTTTAGTTGCTCACCTTTCATACCACTCCGTAGATATCAGAGGACTTAAGGATGTGAAGTTTTTTGTCAAATTGGTTTAATGATTCTTAATCTTCTTTCTTTTGTCCTGTTTCTTGAACTTGTTTTGACATTCTATTACTTTTCTACCCATATCAAACTAGTTTTAGTAAAAGAGTGATATTACCAAGAATTTCAAATGTGTAATTTTAAAAGCTTCATCTGTTTTGAGGGTAAATAATCGTCTTGACCTTTTGAGATAATTTTCATCTCATGGAGGACTATAAATTTTGTCTTTTCTTAACTATAGTGCATGTTCAGTACCAGGGTCCACATCAACTTGTTTCTTAATATCTATTAATAAAATAAACCCCGATCTCCTTTTGTCAATAGAAGTGACTTTTCACCTTCCAGCTATTCCACCAGTTCGGTTGCTTGGTTGGAGTGTGATGTTCTGCTACCTGTGTGTTTTGAAGCATTTCCCGCTCTTGCTTCAACTAGTGCAAATTGAATTCAGAGAGTATCAATCATTACAGAAAGTATATTGATCTATGCAAATTAAGAGGAGAAAAAAATGGAAATGCACAGAATTCGTTTCAATTGCATTGATAGGGAACATTCTTTATAATGATCAAGATGTGCTGAAAAATGCTCACATATTTTCTGTTCGATGGATTGAAAGATTGAAACGAGCTAGGTTGCTTGAGGTAAGGCTATTTGGGGTTTTTCAGAGAAGCATGATCATTGACAATTCTGTGTGCACTTTTGTAGTTCAACGTCCCTGGTCAATGTGGTTTTGTAATATACCTTTGTATTGTCAGGCCTGTTTAATATAAATGATTAGCTTCAATGTTTATCCATATGAGCATGAGAGGCAAGAATGCCCAAGTTTTTTTTTTTTTTGACAAACCAAAATGCGACAACATCCTGCCTATTGGTATGGATAATGTACAAAGTTTGTGCTGTTAAAATTTTGCTCTTCCTTTTGTTTTGGAGCTGGACTTCAGATACTATATTATTATGTAATGGATTCCAGTGCAATTTTTTAGTCAAAGTTGGCGCCTGCATTGGAAATTTTGAGGTGTATGCAATTGATGGAACGTTCTGCTATAGAAATTTATCGTATATCTGTTATAAATTTTTTCCCTCTATCTTATGCAGGTATGTGGATGTGATCCTTCAATTGATTGACAAAGCAGGAGATTTTGTCAGTGATGACATTTGGTTTCGTGTTGTGCAGTTTGTCACAAACAACGAGGATCTCCAGGTGACTGAAGTCGCTGTGATATACTCACCATTATACTGATATCTGTCTTCACATGCAGTTCATTCTAATACTTTCTGCCTTACTTGTCGTATCTCTTATTAGCCTTATGCAGCTCTGAAAGCCAGGGAATATCTTGATAAGCCTGCTATACATGAGACAATGGTTAAGGTATGTATATTCCACCGCACTTATTTGTAATGTGTAAATGAAGAGTTCTTAAAGTGTATCTGGGTGTTCTAATGCGGATAGCTGTTATAGTTGTGCTAAATAACAAGGTGGCCCTAGGGTGCTGGCCAGCACTAAATATGTTTGACAGCTGAAGTTTTTGATACACTCCACCGAGTTGGCTGAGGAGCCACCTTAAATTTATTTCTGTTTTTTATTTGCACTTCACAGTCCTGGATAGCGCCATCTCAATCACATCACGTTAAATTAACATAAAAAAATTCCTCATGAGGATTTGGTTGGGAGGTCAATGCCAAGATCATTGTAATATGAGAAAGGGAAAAGCCGGTAAGTGAGATGTGCTGCCCTCAAGGATATTAGCCATATTAGCTTGCATTATATTTGTTAGGCTCTGTGGCTTTAGTAGCAGGCCCTCGGATACATGTCATGGGAGTTGTTAGAACACCAAACCCAAAATCAATTGGCAACTAGTAGAGTAGCCCTATATGTATATAAACCAACTTTGGGTGGTCTTAATTTTTCCCTCACATGGGAAACAAGCTCACATGTGGGGCCGATAAATAACTATGCATACTGAGAAATTCAAATGGTAAGCGACTTGACCGCTTATCACCCAACATCTAGCTCTAATACCATGTTAAAGTATTCATATACATAAACCAACCTTGGGTGGTTTTAATTATTCGATGTGGGATACAAACTCTCTTAATAAGAGAAAGACACAAGATGCAAGAGAAAGATCATGACCAGCAATTTTGAAAAATGCATTTGATCTAGAACGTTTATGCATCCAGTTTATTGACGGGCGAGGACTCGTGCAATGCACGGGTTTTGTCCACACCCCACCTTCTACATCCACCCCATCTCATATAATTAGTTTATTCACGTTAGAGAATGAAGACAAGAAAGAATTGAGAGTTCTAAAAGATAAAAAAAAGTGTGAAGTGAGAAGAGAATTGTGAAAGGAGGTTAAAGAGGAGTGAAAAGTGGGGGAGTTATTATATCGGCTACGTTAAAATGTGATTGTAGAATTTTTTGGTTTTTAATTAAGTAAAAAATCTGAGATTTAAATATTTAGGGAGGGAATAATTCCCAAGCTCTCTTTCCACTATTTGATTGGCATATAAATATTGATGGATATGGTTACATGGTTCAAGGTTGTTATATCAGCCATTAGCTTAAAAGGGCACTTAAACAATCATGGCTTCGCAAAATGGTGTCAGTTGATACCAAATGCTCAATAGAAAAAAAAGTTGGACATGATGACTCGGATGATTCGTCAGAGAAAACAACGCATCGAATGAGACTCATGGTTTGCATGAAAGGTGTGTCCATCTCAAAATAGAAGATACCGAGTTGGATATAACTTGACCGGACCGTATGTATATTGACTGATACTTTGAGCCATGTATGATTTAGACAAGAATCTTTTTTCACCAATGCAATGTAACTTGGTGGCACTTTATATGGCTTCCCACAATTTTGAAGGTGGGTTTGACTCCTCCCAGTAACATTCAGTTCTATTTGCAATATCTATGCACAAAGTCAAATTTGTCAGGGTTTTTTTCTGTTTAACCAGTCAAGTCACACATTTTGAATGGTACCCTCCAATTCACACCCTCGGCGGAGGTTGCCCCCCCTTTGCACGAATTAGTGTACATAGAATAGGTCAATGCAAAGTCAGATCTTTTAACTGCGCAAGCATATTTTGCAAGTTTTTTCATACCAAGTTACATTAAATATGGGATTTCTTCTTTATGGCGGTTCTTGTACCAGAGTTCTTGATCATGTCATGTTACTATTGGTTAGATATGATCGGTTGTTAAACTGTGTATTGTATTGAGTCCATTTGTAATCTTGATATTAAGTTTGAAAAATATCTATGTGATGGAACAGGTCAGTGCATATATTCTTGGAGAATACAGTCATCTTCTGAACAGACGGCCTGGTTGTAGTCCAAAGGAAATTTTTAGCATCATACATGAGAAGTTTCCTACTGTTTCGTAAGGGCCTCTTTTTCTTCTCTTATCATGTTTTGTTTAAGATCTACCTTGCTTAATGCACAATATATCTTCAGGACTTCGACGGTAGCTATTCTTCTTTCAACATATGCTAAGATTTTGATGCACACTCAACCCCCAGACCCAGAACTGCAAAATCAAATTTGGGAAATATTCACCAAGTGAGATAAACCTATACTGAATCTTAATCTTTCCCTTGTAAATATATTTAAGTTGTAGTTCATTCTACATTACCAAGCCTGGAAATTCTTGAGAACGATTGAATATTCTTACAGATATGAGAGTTGCATTGATGTTGAGATACAGCAACGGGCTGCTGAATACTTTGCATTGAGTAGGAAAGGTGCAGCCTTAATGGATATATTGGCTGAGATGCCTAAGTTCCCTGAGCGACAGGTAATTTATGGGATATGCAATCTGTCATTGGAATTACTTAAAGTCTCATCATTATGTCATATTTGTTCATTTACATATTTGATGAGAGCTCGCCCAAACCTACTTTTCAGTGCCATGTGCACACTGAAAGGAGAGTTTACTGTGTGCGCTACTGATGATGATTGTAAATCATCTTTGACTGTAGTCCTCTTTGATAAAAAAAGCTGAAGATACTGAGGCCGATACTGCAGAGCAAAGTGCTATCAAGTTACGGACGCAGCAGCAGACTTCTAACGCATTGGTACTGACTGACCAACACCCTGCTAATGGAACTACTCCTGTGGGCCCGCTTAGTCTAGTAAAGATGCCTAGCATGAACAATGTGGTAGGATGGCTTATTGTTTGAGATTCTTTAGTATTGAGTTTCAAACTTTCAATTAGGCCTCAATCTACAATAGGGTATTTGGACAGGATCATAACCTGGCAGATCAAGGGGTAGCACAGGCAAATGGGACATTGACTGTGGTGGATCCTCAACCCCCTGGTCCTTCAGCTAATGTTATTGGCGATCTTTTAGGTTCGCTGGCTATTGGAGGCCCTCCTGGTACTGCTACCCAAACTGAGCATAATTCTGGCTCTGGACTGGGAGGGGCTCCAGATACAGAAGATGCTTTAGCCATTGCACCCATTGAAGAGCACACAAATACTGTCCAGGTAATTTTGTCTTTTGCTTTAGTATACAATTTATGCACTAGTCCAGTGATTTGGTTGTAAACAATTTATTGTTTTACCTTGATTGCTGTATGATACCGTTGACTCCTTTTGTGGATTGGGATTGCCAAGTATATATTGCCAGAGTAGAATTTGTAACTACAATCTGTTATGGATTTCTGGTCTTGCAATCTCAGTGAACTAATTTTTCATTAAAATCCTATTGTGTTTGGGTTCCAAGCAACACTTTGAAAATTTATTAGAGGAACCTATTGAGATACTTGTTTATTATTGATACGCAAGTATTTGCTACATCCATGAACTTGTTAAATGTTGTCGGGATCAAATGTGTCTCAATGTTTTTGGGAGGTTACCTGTCATTCCTTAGCTGGCAAATATTGGTGAATAAGCTAATACAGGTCTTCCCACTGGCATGGAATTGATTCTAATATGGTCATTCCTGGCATTAGCTAAGTGACACATAGATGCTTAGCATTTTTTGAATAAGACAGCAGCTCAATTTAATTTTCATTTAGTTGTTGCCACTTCCTCTATGATGTTGATATCTTCTCTAATCTTTAGTAAAAGTAGGCCTAAAAGCGTTTTTAGGTTTGTTTAAGTACAAGTTTTATTTTAAAACTTTTGAAGTACATAAATACTTTTTTTTTTTTTTGTGGGGAAGGAGATGAGTTTAGAACTCACAACCACTTATGGGCAAAAATGAGCCCTTACCACTTGGCCACTCACTCACCTCGAAGTACATAAATACTTATGTTGCACTATATGTATCAGCTGAAACTTTTATAATAGTTTAATATGGTGTCAGAGTAGGAGGTCTGGCATTGGAATTTCGGTGTTTTCATAAGACTTGAACTTGCTTGGCCCAAAATTGTGCCTGAACAAGAGGGTGTGTTTTGCTGAAAACAATCAAACAAGCAAGAAAATCAAGATCAATGGATGCGACGATTACGTGATTTGGTAGAAACACTACCTATGTCCAGGGGAGTGGTTGTTTCTTTACATTAGAAACTGAATAGGGTTACAACTTATTTATAGGTACCAGTTGAAAACTCCTAAACTTGATCAATCACCTAACCTCAATTCCCATAGGATTGATTTTTCAAATTTTGGTAAAACTCATGTACTAGATATGCATTGGGTATTCTGGATATACCTGTACGGTATCACGGGAACTACACCTCCCGCACTCCTAACCTATTATTTGATGGGCCTGTGGCTGTGGCTGTGGTCTGCTAGCCATTAAACTTTGGGAACACCTTGAGCTATTAGATGAGTAGATGATCTAACAGAAAATATGACTTGTAATTTTAGCTTGTCGTTGGTCATATTTTGCAACACTAGATGGGTCTGTTAGAAATTATGGCGGGGGTTTAGTGCTACCAATCCAAATTTTGGGATTTGGACTTCTCTCTTTTGTGAGATGACATTCAATCCTTGTATGTGAGATTCTGAAAGGGAACTGCATACCTTTTTAAGTCACTGAAACATTGCCTAATATCTCCTGATGCTTCAACTACAATGCTGCTTTGCTTCCTGGAACAAAATGCAGACTGGCTTTAAATTTACAATGCTATCATTGGATGAACATCAAAGCTACTGATTTTTCGCTTGACTTTCTCTCCTATTTCATGATTCTCCGTAGAGCAAAAAGAGTACCAGAAAGCTGTTCATAGAACTGTACGTTGGCATTTAGACTATGGTGATATAAGGCATAATTTTTATGCTAATTTCCCCTTAAATATTGTGCAATATATGAATCTCTTCTTTCACATTCTGTTGACCAGTTTTACAGCCTATTATTATTCTGTTGTAACTTTTTTTTGGTAATTCGGTGATAGAATAGTGGAACATTCTAGAGAATTTTGAAAGCAATACTTTGTTATTGAATTTCCCCAAAGGGACATTTTATAAGCAATACAGAATGGATATATGCTTTAATTGATTTTTCTTATTTACCACTCAATTCATAATACGTGTAAAAAAGGTTTGTTGCCGGCTTTGGTATTGACACTGTCTGGCTGCTTCACTTTGCTACCCACGTAACAATAGAGACAATGATTTGGTTTGTCTAATTTTGTTTTCATGTGCTTCAATGAATATCGACACCTATCCTATGTGACTCTATGTTTCCAGCAGTTTGGATATTAAGGGTGACATACAGATATGGCATTAGGTCTTAGTAGGATAGGAATTTGTAGCTTCTCCAATTATATATGTGCTAGACCCTAGTTTGGATCCTACCCCAAGCATCAGCTCTGTTAATCTGGAATGAAGGACTTGATCTCTTGATTTATTGCAATGGAAAGGTAGCTGGATACTGCACTGAGCCCCCAGGCTAGTGTTTAATTGGTACATTTGGTTTGGTTTAGCATTTCAACATATTGCCTACTACATTGGATACCTCTGTTTCTTATTTATTTGCAATGTGTTATGACTGGGTATATATAATGATTTGCTTGTTTGGCTTTATCAACATTTTCGAAATGTGATTGATGGCTCTTCGGCTACATTTTGAAAAATGGTGACCTCATTTTTAGTTGTGTTGATTTATACTTCTGATTCTCAGAATTTATCACCTATGCTTGCAGCCAATAGGAGACATTGCTGAAAGATTTCTTGCTTTATGCCTGAAGGATAGTGGTGTGTTGTACGAGGATCCTCATATTCAGGTGACTTATCCTTATCTAGTTCTCCCTTTGGACCTGTAATGCATTGGAACTTTAGTCCTTTCTGTTGTTTTACCATAAGGAACCTGCTTTGTCAGCGGTACAAGTTGATGATACTTTAACATCCAGGCCTTTAGTGATATTTTTGACCTACATTCCAGATTGGCATTAAAGCCGACTGGCGAGGGCATCATGGGCAACTTGTCCTCTTCTTGGGAAACAAGAATACTGCCCCACTTGTTGCGGTTCAAGCTTTGATATTGCCGCCAGCTCATTTGAGGATGGAACTCTCATTGGTACCTGAAACTATACCTCCACGGGCCCAGGTCAGATGCTGATGTTTCTCATCAATGATTTCTGGTTGTTGGATCTGTTAGGCACTCTTTTCTTTGAATTTAACTTATTTTTTTCCTTTTTCATGTTTTTGTAATGTGATTCGGGATGTTTAGGTGCAATGCCCACTTGAAGTGGTCAACCTCCGCCCCAGTAGGGATGTTGCCGTTCTTGACTTCTCCTACAAGTTTGGAACCCAAGTGGTAGTACCAATAAATGAAGTTTTTTTTGTTTTTGATATCTAAGTTACAAGGATCAATACTCATGTGTATGTAACTTGTTCTGCAGTTCAACTTTAAGCTTCGCCTTCCTGCTACGCTAAATAAATTTCTCCAGCTGATAACGGTGTCAGCCGAAGATTTTTTCCCCCAATGGAGGTCACTTTCTGGACCGCCTTTGAAACTTCAAGAAGTGGTATATAAATTCTGTTTCATATTTAACCTAAGAACTTTTATATGTGCACTATTACTTGGTCCATTTTGATTTCATTTAAATTCTTATAGCCATACAACAGTACTACTCAACACAGCATTTATTTCAACTATTTGGGATAAACAGAGTAACACAGTGCAGTTTAAAAATGAAGTTTTATCCTGAACTAGCTCTTCGTATCAATTGTTGAAATTCACTACTGTCATCCCATGTCATTGTAAGATATTAAGATGTTGGGCTTGAAATTTGCACTTCACACCCTGAACCACCTGCTTGATTGAAGCGGGTTTATTATTTTTGTTCTTCCGTAAATAATCCATGGAAATTTGTTCCAGAAAAAATAAATATAGTTATAAAGACATGATAAACCATTGATGAGACGTGGTAGAATTTCCCAAGTTTTTGAGAAGTTTGCTAATTCAAAAAAAAAAAAAGTGGATTAAAGGAAAGGAAAGAAAAATCCTATAATGACTATCACTTCTTTCACATATATACACTGTACAAGAAAATTTGCAGTAAGGTAAGCCCCAGACTTTCCTGTGATCTAAAATTTTGTATAAAACACTGTACAATTTTGGAAGGAAATGTTTTCTGCTGGATACTAGTTATCATGGGACCCAAAACTCCTATCACAAGCAAAAGCACAAGTTGGAAAAGAAAAAAAAATTATAGGTTTGTCCTTTTCCTTGCCATTCCCTTCAGTCAAACCGCGTAAATAAACAGAGTCAAGGAAAAATGTGTCTGATCATTTTGGCTGGCATGGAGTTTGTACCAAAAGAGTATGAGTGCGACATTTCATCTGAAAGGGTGTTCAAGGGTTCAATTCCCTCCATTGGCCCAGGTAATAGAATGTAAAACAATTAAGGAGGGAAAAAGGGAAAGAGGGGGGGTTCAATATATTAAGATCAGTTGGTGATTGATCTTGAGCTTCATTTAACAAGTCCAGTGCAAAAACCCATTGTTGCATTATGTTCAAAAATATTTATGTAACAACCTTTTCCTATAAACTTGAGCAGGTTAGAGGTGTAAGACCAATGTCTCTCGTGGAGATGGCAAACTTATTTAACAGTTTCAGGTTGATAGTTTGCCCGGGGCTTGTAAGTTCCCAATACTCTTCATCTTGGCCTCCATTTTTACTGAAATCTCATCTGTCTGTAAATTGGCTTACCATTTCATTTCTTTTTTCAGGATCCAAACGCAAATAATGTGGTGGCAAGCACAACTTTCTATTCAGAGAGTACAAGAGCAATGTTGTGCTTGGTAATGGATATTTTATTCCATCGCTAGTTAGTTGAATTTTGGTTAATGCTTTTCTTGCTGACAAAAAGTCAGCATTTTGTGGTGGCCACTTCATGATGGACACACAAATGCAAAACACCTAAACTGGTACTTCTATGCTTTCATTTTGTTGCCAATGTTTTAGTTGTTGTGAAACTGTAATTATTAACATAATAGATTACACGTGGCAGAAAATGACTGTTGAATGCTTGAGGTTTTGTCAAATTGTGTTAGCTCCTCTGGTGGCTGCTATTGTTAACTGTGCAGGAACGACAGAAAACCTTTCCTGTCCTTTCTTCCCTTTGTGTGGTGTGTGTTTTGGGGGGAAGGGTGGGTGCTCTTTTGTTGGTACCATAGTTGTGAGACTCTATTTGATGCCTCTTTTTTTCCTGGTCATATGCAGGTAAGAATTGAAACAGATCCCGCTGACAGAACCCAGCTGCGTATGACAGTTGCCTCAGGGGACCCTACACTAACGTTTGAGTGGGTCTTCAGCTTCCAACTTTGTACTATTTACTTCATTTCTCCTTCAAAACATTATCTGACCACATCTGTACAGGTTGAAGGAGTTCATCAAGGAACAATTAATTAGCATTCCTACAGCCTCCCGGGCACCTTCACCAGTGCCTCCACATACTCAACCAATGGGGCCTCCACAAGCTCAGCCAAGCAGTTCACCAGCAGCAGTATCAGATCCTGGGGCTATACTTGCTGGTTTGCTTTGAGAAAGTGGGTGAGATTTATTGATTTGTGCACTACAACACATGTAAAACTGATTATATAGCATGCCTACCTATCTCTCTCTCCAGTCAAGGTGGCAAGGAACAATACAATGCAAGGGCTGGCGGGGTTCAAGGTGAGGTCATATGTGATCAGCTTAGCATTAGAGTTGGATCTCGTAGGGGGTGGTTCGGCATTTGCGATTCTTTCTGTACAATTCCATTGTGCATGGGTGAGGTTCTCTCTTTTTGGGTGGTGTTATTTTTTTTGGTCCTTTAGTGTCCATTTCTTTTTCTTTTTTTTCATTTTTTCCTCATCTAGCAGTGTTTATGTCAATTTGTTTATTTAATACCAATTGCATGTGAAAAATTGCTTCTACTGAACCAATTGTAACTATTGCATTGGTTTGCTACTCCATATGTATTCTCAATAAGAGCAATTCTGAAGGGAAAAAATGGTGTGGTCTTTATACCCTTTTCTCTCTACTTGTGGTTACCCCTGAGGATTGATCATAACATAACTAAGTTTAATTCAATATGGTGTAACCAAATAACAAAACAACCATGCTTTTTTGGGCTTGCTATGAATTGGTCTCTGATAGCTCCTTTGGTTGGGATTGGTTGAGAAAGTGGTTGGATTATTTTTTGGATGGTGTTTTAGCCGTAGATGCTTGCAAGAATTGTATGGTGTTCAGTTTAGGCTTCCCACCTGAGGGACTTCCAAAATAACCATGTTGAGGGATTCTATCATACCAGTGGTTCAGTCGGGTTTTTTTGCAAACAAGAAGTCTCAGGATTAACATACCTCTTAAGGACTAGTCTCTCTTGTTTATCAAATAACATATCCTTAAATTAATTTGAATTACGATGGCCAACTTAAAATTCAAGAAAATAATCGAGACAAATCTAAACATCTCATAATTAAAAAAAACTCCATGTAATTATTGTTGTTTTACCGGTGGGTTATGTTAATACTGCAGAGCATACCAAAACGTTAGGCCGGTGGAGTTGCAGTCAAAGGTTCTAACAAACCTACACTACAGAAGTACTGATAATTGACCCACGGATATGCACTTTTGATATCCAAATACCATATGCAGAGTCTCCCCGACAATCAAAATTCAGGCCTTTACTGATTTCCCAAATATTTGTGATGAAAGTCAAATTTATACAAGCAAAAGAATCAGACAAGCATTTAAAAAAGCTGCTTATCCGTCGAGATCAGAGAAAATATTCTAGATTCCAAAAGGATTTCACTTCTCCATCACTACTCTAGGTCACAAATGGGTATGTCTAAACTAAACTTATGGTGTACTTCCAATGTTCGATTAAACCAACCACACAAATGGACAATCGACTCACCACAATTAGCAACGACAAAGACAATCTACCAGACGAAGAGATAGATTGCCGAGAAGCAACACCATCTGCTTTACAAATGTGGCAACAGCCACCGTGCAAGTCTACTGCACTCTTATACAGTGCTTGCTCATTAAAGCTCACCATGCACGGACAGTGTTGGACAGTATTTCTCGCCTGATTAAATCAAGCATGACCAATGAACGTGCCTATCCCGATATTTTCTTCCAAATGATGCACAGACCCAGCAAACCTCTTCCATCATCAAAGATATAGGCCAGTTCAGACCTCCCATAACAGAGTTTCCATATGCGCATAGAAATAGTAGAAACATTTGAGGTTGATTAAACAACTAATGCCTGTAATGACAGTCGCCACATGTCCAGCCATGCTCCCAAGGCAACAGCTCAACCCCTTGACAACATTGGCTGTGTATCCATAATCCACATATTTGGCAACAAAGATCAGGACATGGTTCAGTGAAAGAACAATTTTTACAAGGCACCATACCAACAGCAGACTCTAGAGAGACTGAAGGTTCTTGCTGACCATAGGTAGCATCAGAAATTCCATCCCTCGATAGTGCAGATAAATCTTCCAAATTCCCTGCTACACTCCCAGATTGATCGACTCCATTCATCTTAACACCATCATCAGATGCCAGCAATTCTGTAAAATAGAAATAGGTCTGCGGTTCAAACTCCATATTCTCATCATTGAGACATTCATAGTCAAACATCATATTATCTTCAAAACCATTTGTAGACATATCCCATTCCACACAAGGAGATGATGATTCGTCTGCAAGGTTCAAGAGGTTTCCATCAAAAGGAGTGGCTACTTCATCTTTAAAATCATTATTTTCTAAAGAACAGTCCAAATTCTTTTCACGCTTCACATGCCTTCTGATGGGCAGTTTCTGAGGCCCACCATATATGGCAGCAGCATTCCACTCGCTATCCGCCTTTGAATTGTGTTCAGTGAATTGCTCAAACCGTGACAGAGAGAGAAGGGGATCATCGTCTGGTACATATACAACTTCCTCTTTCGTGGTTAACATTGGAATATGTTCCCTTTCTTTAAGTTGTTCAGAAAAAACTCCAGAAACAACATTCACTCCTGGAACTAGTTGTTTTGGAGCCCTTGTGCGAGGTTTCTTGCCCTCTGATACTTTCTTGCTGTTGGGATTGTAAGGGCACGCAGGTGATCTTATTCTACGGCACCTGCAACATTTGAAACCAACTACCTCAGAGATTTTTGACTCCTCGAGTTCGACGGCTTCAGCATGATACCAATCTGCAAATAGTGAATGCATTAATGACAATAAAAAATAAATTGAACAAGTATCAGAAAGAAGAGAGGAGACACGTTTCATGTCTAGCAGGCTTACTTGTGCATGTTTCACAGCAAATGTACATCAGATCAGAATTATATGGCTGGTTGCAAAGGTGGCATGTAGGTTTCAACCAATTCTTGCCTGGACTGCCCTTAAAAAGAATATTTTTCGATCTAAAATCAAGACCAGTGTCTTCAACATTTTTCTTCTTCCATCTCAAACCCCAAGAACATAACTTATGTCTGTTCTTTGTTATACTAGAATCTTGAGTAGATGATTTCATCTCAGAGGAAAGCTCTGAAGTTCCAACAGATGCTAACGGCCGACTATAACCAACTTGCCGTCCTCTGGTGACTGTCACTGCACTGTGAAATTCCTGTCCTTGCAAGAACAAAGGACTAGTAGGAGACTCATTATTGTTTTCAGTTTGACTGAGAGCTTTAGTATGATAACACTGATTGCAGGTGATCAAAAACTCAACTTCCTCATTCCTGAAAACAGTACAACTTGCAGTGCATTGCTCATGACAATAGCCTGTCCACAAAATGAGGCATACAAAAATCAATGGTGCTGAACATTCAGTCATTTAAATTCCTGAACTTTCATAGATAATAAAGAAAACAATAGAAGGCTCTCTAAATCTTGCTAAGACTATCCACGATAACATTGACTTCTCCATCAGTATCTTATTTATCCATCCGTCCACATCATAATAAGAAGTTTTAACAATTCCTTATTCTGTAGCTCTTTTTCTCGTCTTTACATAAGCACAGATGAAGTCACAACTTCCCTTTTGTAACAGCGACAACTATAATTTACTTTGTTAGAACAGTAAAGATACTATGATAGCTGATCTTTCGTGGTGCCGACTAAATAGCAGGTCCAAGTCAAATAGACAGTGACCTTGAAAATATATTACCAATGTAAACCATAATCACCCAATTGGACATGAAATTCCACTTGCAAGAGGGGGAAGTTTTTCCTCTAATAGAGGTTAAAGCCCCAGAACCAGCTAACTGAAGATTTCCCTTTACCTTTCCTTCAATACAGACAGCATTTGTCAATGTTGCTTCTCTTTCAAATTCATTACACCATGTCTTTTATGTACTATATCCAAAGGCTAATACTCTTCCCTATTTATTAGTACATTAACTTCAGAACATATTTCATGTCATTTAAGGTTCCCACAATTAATTTCTGAGCACACACAAAATGCAGAAGTGTAGTGCTATTACACCACCTTTTTGTACTCCTGTCCTGGGATTTTGTAATTAATTTATTTGTATGATTCATAGATATAGTAACATAGTAATATATAACCAATAACAACTTTTTTGATTGAGCAAGGAAACAAAATTTTTTTTTTTTTTGTTTTGCATTAAGCAGGTTGAAGGCATCTAACGATTTAGGGAAAAAAAGGTCTTTTAAATTAGAGGACTTCCTTTTCCGAGTAAGACCACGTGATCTTAAAAAATTAGAGGACTTCCTTTTCCAAGTAAGACCATGTGATCTTAAAAAATTAGAGTACTTCCTTTTTGGAGTTATTATAAATAATAATGGACAGCTTCTAGCCCCAAAAAAACACGAGGAAGGCAATTCTTCTCTCTCTAAAGGATACTCATTTCTTTTTTCGTGAGTACGTTGTTCTTTCTTTTTTTGGGTGGTTGTGGTTGGGGGGGGGTGTTAATCAAAGAAATAAGGGAGTATGTCTAAACTGGTTTACCTGAATGTAAATTAGGAAGAGAACATTAGAAAAATACTCAAATTCCAATACTTTATAGATGCACGTATAGGAGATGATGGGATAAAACAAAATTAATGAATAACTACTATACCTTGGCATGCACTGCACTTCACCGCATTCCTACACATCATAGCAGATAAAATATCAATACCATTATAGCAACTGAAAATCCAAAAAGGAAAAGGTCAACAGTAACACCACAAATTACCCAAGCAAAACATCCAGTTGGCATGAAACACAACAGCATATGTCCAAATTATCTCTCTTCCGCGAGAGATATGAGAATATATCTGTACGTGAAGCCTTCAATTGCCTTTTCTGCATTTGAGACAGTACACTCGTGCTCTTGTCAATCACTGGCAAAGAAATGTTCTCCATTTTTTCTTCATACTCTTTGATTAAATATAGAGGAATGCAGGTTTCAAAAAACCAATATTTTTCCATTCCATCATGATTTTGCTCGACTTCTGTGATAGACTTCATGACACGAGAAGGAAGATGTTTTTGATTTCCAAAAGCAATGCCATATCTAATTTTGTTTTCCATGATTTTCTTATCACATATGAAAGCATTTCTAAAAGCAGAAGCTTCTGACTCTTGACCTTTTCCATCTTGGAGATTATGTTCAGGACGAACAAGATCACTCCATCTCAAATGAAGGTCTAGGTACCTGACCTGATGCAAGTGCAAAAACTTATCGTCATAAAACATAAATAAACAAAAATTAAAATAGTCACCAAGAAACTGGAATACTGCCAAACCAGGTTATATATGGCGAAACAAAAATGAAAATAGAAACAATAGATATATGGTTGCAATAGTGTAAAGAATGATGATAAACACACCTGAAGTGCAAGCTGTGAGGCAGTCCTACTAAGTTCAACTGCAGCTCTCCAAACAAGCTGCCTGCTTCTTTTAGGAATCTCAGAATCGTCAGCATAAACAATTCCGGTTATCTTTCTACAACCCCCTGATTTTAAAAGAAAAAAAGATCAGAATATTTTTTCCTCGTCTCTTTCACAAAATTTTACAAGTAGCATAAAGCAAATTAAACCAAACTCAAGATAACCCAAAGCCATCAAAGTGAAAGCAATTCATTTTTCTGCCAAACACAAAAAGCTGGACATTAAGAATTGACCTTGGCGAGCTGCTTTCTTGACCACGGAATGAGGTAAGGTCCCTTTTTGGATTATAAGCTTCGACAGCATACCTCCTCGCCACCAGTGGAAGTCAGTCAATATATCCGGGCAATAATCAGTTGTGACTTCAAACATGGAAGAAGGTTTTCTACCGCGCCTCCCAGGCCTGTGTTTCTGAGTTGACACAACAGAACTTGCAATAATCTGGGTTGCAGAAGATTCAACAGACCAATTATCGACTAGCTTTACCCAGTCAGCAGAAAGAGCGACGCTGCGAATGTTTTCCTCAAACTGCAAATTCAAACAATAAGGTCATACTGACATGAAATTAGAGCACACGGCATAAATAATTTAGCATAAGCTGCCATTTACGGACGGCTAGGAAAAATTGGAACCAAAAGAAAACTTCTACTCCCATAAGTATTTTACAGATTGTGGAGAAAGTGAAATAAAGAACAGATCGAAAATGGTCTTGCCTAAACCATCTTGTCTTGACAAGCAAATAAATGCAGACATCACAGAACACAAATTTATTTTTGTAGATTAGGAACATCCGTCGAAACAAACAAGCATTTATAGACATGCTGTCCATGTCCAACAAACTGAATCTTCTACAATCGACTAAATGCAAAACTATAGAGGTCAACCACAAGGCATGTCAAAGAAAAGTAAACGAAGGCTAGTACAATCAAGACAGTTGCATATTGCTTAGGGTACATTCATGTCTGCTGCTCGACACCAATTCACAGAGTATCCTAGCACATTTTTCACTGACTCCCCTTGCCCATTTGTCAAAACACCAGGGTGCATATCAACAAGTCATTTAAGGGGCCAAACCTAAAGTGGATCAGCTACCAACAATGCAGCTAAGAGAACCTACTTTGAAAAATAAAAAGGAAGGGAAACACCATCTGGTAAAGAAAACTCCCCATTGCTTTTTGGCTTAAGTACAGCAATTGAGATATGGGAGTGAGTAAATAAATTATCAAAAAGAGAATGCATGTAGTACAAGCTGGTAGAGGGGAGAAAATAACATTCATAGTTGGAGGGAGTAGAAAATATAAAACAAAAGACCAATTGATTCTCAAAGCCTCAAACTGATTCTCTTTTAGGCAAGGGTTATAGTTGAAACAGTGCATGTGTGTGTGAGAGAGGGAGAGATCGAGAAGTAAACCTATAACAAGTGAAAAACAAATATGTGTCACGAATGGGAGAATTTGAAGTTGCTCAATGGTGCACAAGGGATTAGGTTGGTAAAGAAAAAACAAGGGGGGTAATGTGGTATAACACCATCCCACACAATATTCATCTCACTGTAAACAAAGTGCTATCAATGTAGGGCTTAAATGCAACAAAAAGAACACCCAAAATACAACAGATATACTTGGATTAAGAAGAAGGGAAGGGAGAGGATAAAACCTGTACTACGGTTTGCAAGCGAAAGTAAGCAAATAGTACCATAAGAAAGGATTGCCCATTCCCCCCCCCCAACCCAAAAAATCAAAAACAGAAATGAAAAAAAACAGTTTCAAATTACTAGACATGGTTTCTAAGGTTCCTAAAAGAAGTCCATAAGTACCTACCCATGTGTTCACCTGCTGTATTGAGAGTAATTTAAACTGTAAACAATAGAGATGGAGGGAGATCCAAACAATTAGGCAACTCTCACCATAAAAATGAATGCCGCTATTTGAAAACGAATGCACACTGCATACAAGAAAAAGGAAAATAACCTTCATAAGAACTAATCAATGGTCCAACCTGTGGTGCAACTTAGACATATAATCAAGCATGAAGTACTGCAAGGAATAATACAAAGTCACCAAAGATTGCTAAGTTAATTTTAAAGTCGAGATATGTGGACCCATTACCGACAATCATATGAAATGCATTAACCCGTGTTTGTTCTCCATCCAGACTGATGGGAGAAGTTTACCAGGAGAAGTTGACCATACAAACCTGATCTTTAGCATTTCAACTACCCTCAAACTTAAACCTGCCTAGCTTTACAACTAAATCATTTTACGACTGCACCTCGTCGTGGCCTCTATCACCCAAAGCATTTAAATTCCTAATTCATCAATTAATGTAAATCCCACTCACCCCTATGCATGTGCCCTTCTTTTCTATTAATAGTGAGCATGTCCTTTAGAAATAGATGAAATAACTAAGAATATTTTATGCCCAAGTGTAAACCAGGAGGCAAATGCAACCTATGGATCACATAATTGTCGGTAGTTTGTATATAATCAACTTTGAAGCATGAACACCTCATCAAGACTAGAGTATCCGTATCCGATATATATGATTACTGTTGGATGCGTACTCTAAAAAATGTGGCGTATCCATGTCGGAAACCGACACTACTCAGACATGTGACCGAGATACTCTTTTATTCGTGTTCATAATTAAATGATAAAATTTTAATTTCGAACACGTAGCCAACACTTCTTTAGACTGTGTCTATTACTAAATAATACATATTTGTTGACATATGATTAACAAAGCTTAAAAGTTTGAGTATTAAATATCTTATACTATTAGAATATATAATTACCAAGCCTAGACATGTTAAAATTGTACTAAAAATATAATAACAAAATCAAAAGATAAATAAAATATTTAGAAAATAACAATTGAGAAAATAAGTGCAATCATTTAAATTATGTGTTTAGTACATGTCTATAAAAAAAATTAATGATTATTGACTATTATGATATTAGTTTTGAAACTCACACTAGATAACACATAACATTTACTTGTCATTATCAATAATATTTATCTGTAATGTGTCCCCAACACGTCTGTATCCTACTTTTTTGACAAATGTCAAGTGTGTGTGTCTATGTCGTAACATGTCCGTGTTTGTGCTTCTTAGGTATAAGATACAACTGAATACGTTTGGATTATATTAAAATATTTTAAATATTCATAAGCAATGAATACGTTAAATATCAACATGGGCTAAATAAAGGACTTTATTTTTCTTTATTTTTTTTTAAAAAAAAGCCAATATAAATAGGGTAGTTTTAATTTAATACTAAAAATGAGACTTCTTATCTAAGAAAAGGATGATTTTTACTTCAAAATGGTTAATTTATACGGTATGTTAACCACTCAACAATGCCCTCTTATAACATGTTATTTCTCCAAATTTAAAAATCATCATCAAGAAAATAAAAGCAAGAGGCTAACTTAGCTATCGTAGAACAATTTGTATATATCTAATGTTGTAGATGGGTTGCCCATTCAAATACCTGAATAATAAAGTGTATATTAGTTTCGGTTAATTAGGGCTGACAAATTTGTTTGATATATCATATACACCGTCTATTACAATATAAAATAGGTTTGTTTGCATGAATATAAGTTATTCTCAACTATAAAGTACAATATATATATATAACATACAAAATATATATAAATTTATTGACTATCTTAACTTATCGGTGTCCTATTTTATCATTGTTGATCAATATACCAAGATTCAACTAAATAAACAAAAAGATAATCCTACGTAACTATAAGCCTAGTGAGATCAGCTAGATAATGGGGCTATGAATACATAGAATACTTACTTCGAGCAAAAGAATCTTTATCGCACTGAAAGTAGTAGCCTGTACAACTTTTGTACACCACTGTTTTCTATAAGCTGCACTCAGGAAGGGGCCAAGTGTAAGACCAGAAAAACTCTCCTCCATTAACATCATATATGACGCAATCCCGGAAAGACTTTCATCTAAATTCTTTGCAGGACGAAGGCCAGCTAGTATCTTCATAGCCCCTTTAATTGCATTTGAGGTAGCTGCATTTAAAAAGCATCCTCTCTTGCTTGTAACATGAGCCTTGCAAGCAAGACACCAACCACACCTTTCCCTGGGGACTTCCATAAGCTTCTTTTCCGTATTTGGCCAGAAAAAGCGTATGGCTGCCGATGAAAATGCTTTTAACTGAAGTGAAATATTAGCTGATATTATCTTCCTGCGATTGTCAGAAGTATGAGACTCAAAAATCCCACTTTCCTCAGATGAAAGAACAGAAAGATTAGCTGCGGCAGATGCAGCAAACTCTCCATGAACATAAGTATTTATATACAATTGAGATTTGAAAGATGACCCCCTGTATAAGCAATCACCACCTAGTCTATCAGCAGCTTCTTTGCATTGAGCAGGCGTGTTTGCTGCAAAACGCATACCATCCACATGCCCCCCGTAACTACCATTGCTATTTCCTGAAGCACAAGTGACATTTTGTGTTCCTACTTCACCTATTCCAGGAAGAACAAAGACATCTTCCGGAATTTCCCAATAATTTAAAATTTCCTTGCATATCTCTGAGTACATAGCAATGTATTGCACAGTCGAATTAAGTGCTTGCAGAACACTTGGAATGTCATTCTGATAGTAGTATTTGCAACACGGTTCTATGTCAATCAAAACATTTAGCCTGCAATTATTAGTTATATTAAGGGTAAGAAAGCATTTCATTCATTGTAATAAGAGATAAAAGAGCATTTCATAAGATAAAAAGACAATTTAAGAATGTAAGAGCATAAATAAAAGGCATCTAAGCAAACCAAGATGGAATTAATGCAACCAGTAAAGTGATCTTAAGGACCAATGGAGAGGCCAGTCCCAAATTAAATTAAATGGTATAATAAAACACAAATTAGGAGTTAGAAACATACACAAGTAAATGATTACAAGTACCCAAAAAGATTTGTCCATAAGAATCAACACCGAATATTTCTGCTCCCCTTAAAGATGTTTCTTTTGTAATTGTAGGCCCAATCCTACTGATTGTACATTCTGGACAATACCACGTCCCTTCTGGTATGAACATCTTCATCACACCCATGCATCGTGAATGGTAAGCAGACGGACACCCATCGCAGCAAAGCAATGTCCCATCCATACCACAAAGCCGGCATTCATCATTGTTACCATCCTCATCAGCATCAGCACCATCATCCAGTCCAATAGCTTCAAAACCATAAGAATTTGACTTACAAGAAGGCTTTCTCTCATGGCTCTCAGCAATAATCTCCACAGCATCTCGGTCCATGCAAGCAGAGGTTTTAGAGTATCTAGGATGGACCCTTTTTGGCCCATTTTCAGGAGCAACTACTGTGACAGCATCAGAATCTAGGCCTACTTCCGATTCTTCACGCATATCAATTTCTGCTCTTAGCTCTTCAGAATCTAAAACATCATCGCACAAGATCTGCAAAATAAACAACTTCCTGCCTGCAGATAATGTGTAATAATCTTTCTCTAAGGCATAAATATAAAATCCTTTCAACTCAGGGGTCTCTGTGTATCCCATTACCCACAGGTATCGAACCAAGTAAACTGGCCAAGTCAGTGAATCAAGCAAGCTCCAATCCATGCACCTGCCAGCAGAATTATCATGTAATTTCGACCAAAGACAATTGGCAAATGCATCTTGAGCAAGGATATAAGCCAATTAAGAGGACTGCAAGGATAACTAAATACATACATGCTTATCAGCCAGGGGAAAAAAAAAATCACTGAGATACTACAGCTAATATATACAAATCACTAAACATTACATTTTTTTCTCAAAGAGAAAGGTAGATAGAAGTACCTCAGGCATTTTGAAGCGAGCTCAGAACCATCAGAGAGGAGTGTGTCAAAATGCCGTCTCAAGGCACGCATGAGAGCAACATGAATAGAAGCCAACAAAGAGTTTGGTTCAGAACAGTTTAGCGAACCAACGAAATCATCCAGGGCAAATGGGCTCAAAAACAGCCTGATACTAAATGACCGCAAGAAACTGTATACAGAGAAAAGGTATGAAACATACTCTTCCCGAATACCAATGTTCCCCGAAGAAGGAGGCAATTTTGGCGGCGAGACAAAGACACTCAAATCCTGGGTATACTCACACGAATCAGTGGATGAATCAGCATCATCATCTTCAACTTGGCCTCCATCAATTCCATTACCACCACCAGCATTACTTAACTCACTCAACAAAGACCCTTCAACCCTACCATCTGCATTCACCATCTCAATTGCATTCTCTACGGGTTTATCATTTACTTTTACTTCTGTCTTTGATACTAATTCATCTAATTTCCTTTTTCTTTCCAACCAATCAAAGTCAAAATCATTATCCTCGATGAGCACCTCCCTCACTTCGTCGCTCTCCAAATCCTCGCAATCTCCATCTTCATAATCGACTCTATACAATCCACTATCGTAATAAATAATCTTCCCAAGAAAAACCCCACTACCCTCAAATTCTTTCTTTACGTATCTCCCAACCAAGGCCTTCGACCTCGTCTCCACCGCCCGTTTCTTTCCTTCCCGATCTACAGTAACATTCTGCACGTCCTGCTTCTTCCTTTTCCTGCCCCGACGCTCCGATCTAAGAACTGCAGTTTCCATTGACCAATCGGATTCAATCCAGACCTAAATTAATTCCACGCCTCACCAATTTCTAGGGTTTCAAAGAATCTTGCTTCACACCAATAAAACACACATCTTTGACGTAACCTGATTCAGTAAATTGAACCGAATTTCATAGTTGTTTCTCAGATCTCACAGAACATTATTACAATCATGGGTGAAAGTTAACCCGAAAAATAGTAACAAAATAAGCATGAACTGAGAAATTGTAGATGTTTTGCGCATCTATTAGATTTCAATTTTGAAACGTTTCTAAATACACGGAAATCGGGGCTTTTGTGGCGTATTGGTCTGGGTGTCCACGTGTGTTGTGAAAAATATGGAAATCCTACCTGGTTAGCGATGATAAACCTCCATTGAAGAATAATCTGGAACTTCTGGTAGTGAGAGAGAGATGGGAGGGGAAAGATGAGGCGTCGTGTGGTGTTACGTGGCGTCGGGTGGCGTCGTAGTAGCCCTAGGCGAGAAAGCCAAGGCCTCACCACACTCTTCTACTGGTGTCGTCTGGGTCCGGGCCTCTGGGTTCTTTACTTAGCTCGTTTGACTCGGAACTCGGCTTTGCCCGGGTTTGCAACTCGGAAATCGACCGAGTGGTTGTAAATTTGGCGGTAATCTCCGGAAACAAAATGCGGTGGTGATTTCAAATTCAATGAAAAGTAGCAAGTGCGACAAGAAGCACATTCTCCGCCCTTTTGTGACAATTGAGTACTAATTAATCATAATTTAATGTATCTAATTAATTGTAACATAATTTTTAACACTAAATTAACCTATTTAATATGCCATATTCAAATTGACACGTGTTTAAAATTTGCTTATATATAAATTTTAATTGAATGGGAGTGTAAGGGAGTTGTACTTAGACATATAGTTATATTTTTTAATACATTTAAAAAGTTAATAACGATAAATTGACCCTATAATAAAAAATATCATACTACTTAATTCTTTATTTAAAAGCTCTCCAACTAAAGTGGGCAGGGACTCAAGTTTTTTTTGATCAAAACCAAGCAACGTAGAACTTTCATTAAGTAAGAAAATTGATGTTACAATCAGACAGAAATAAAATCGTAAACTCAAGGGAGAGTCTAACTAATTAGGGGGGAGCGAATTACTTAGCAAAGAGATTACAACCCAATGAACAGTCTTTGCGTAGACTCTAGGCTTGTATATAAAGTTAAGGTTGTATAATCTAACATAATCTCTAATGTCTTCAATAATGCATTAATTTCTCGTGAGAAAACATTTTCATTGGAACTGAGCTCGATTATATTAAAACAGTCACTTATGATGGAAGCATTTGTGATCAAAGGGACTTCAACAAGAAGGCAAGCTTGCCTCACTGCCTCTGCTTTATAGCAAAGACTGGACCTAGCTGGGAAGATTTAGCACAGCCCAACTCAAGCACACCCCTCTCTTCGCAGACCACCACTTCGCAAGCACTTTTAACAGAAGTAGACCTGAGGACGTCGTCACAAAGATGCGAAAATTGAGGCTTCTTTTTGCAGAACTTTAGGATTGATTAATTCATTAACACATTATTTCTCTTCGTGAAGAATGTGAACTATATAAGTGTTGTATAAATGCATCAGCTACTTTCAGTTGGTAATTAGTGTGCTCTAAATTTCTTTCATGCCGTTGGTTAGGAGATTGTAAGATTTTGAAGAATCAATCACAAGCACCACTTTTCTAATGTTTTTTGACGTATAATTATTATATTTTCTAGTATTCAAATTTATGTATAAAAAATAGTAGACAACAAGCACATTCCGTATAACACATGAATTGTTTGTAATGAAATGCTTCCAACTAAAAATTGAGAATGTTGTAGAGCAACAATCTATAGTAAAACATATTGATCATCAACAAACAAAAATAAAAAAAAAATGGCAAAATTATGTGACCAACTAATTATTTCTAACACAAATAAATGTGAGCGTGCCTAAAAAATAACATGGTTAACTCGGCGCAGTCAACTCAACACTATTCTGACCATACATAATAATAGTGTCGCCCGTGTCTTTAGTGCTCTAATTGCAATTATACGGAAATGAACTTTGGCGGGAAGAGCGATAGCTTCAATCTATATATGTATGCATTACCTGCCAATATATTTGTAAGTCAAATGGGGTATATAATTTTTTAAACTATCAACGGTCACTTGCCAAAAAAAATTGAATTTCCTAAGCTATATCCAAATATTAATTTGGGTTCTTCTTTATCTTTTTTTTTTATTTACTGTTTATTTATTGATTGGGTTAATCGTATGTAAACCAACGATAGCAGTATAACACCTACACCGTGTATGGTTTCCTTTCTCTTTTATTTTTCTTGCGTAAATATGTCATTGTTCTAGTTTTAGTTTTAGCTGTGATCTGATCCCAACGTCACAAAATTTGAATACAAAAAAATATTATTTATCACGTGAAAGTAATATTGTGTTTTTGTATAGACCCGACAAAAAAAAAACTTAGTATTTTTCAATAAGTTATACTTTGAATAAGGCTTTGTTTCAACACTAACACTAGCAATAAAAATATAGGTGTGTCATTAGCACATTTCCATTGTTATTTTTGTTAATGAAGCTATTTTTATTTTGTTTTATTTTTTTGGTCAACAAAAAATGAATGAGTTGACTTGCAAGGACTTCGTCAAATTAAAATCAATGACTAATATTAGGGACAAATCACAATGTCCTCGTGGGATTGTACGGGTGTCCATACCTTCGTATAATGGATTCATTCTTTTTAAAAGGTCTCAAATAATTTTTTTTTTTTGAGAGGTTGTAATGGGGCTTGTTGGATGGGTGGCAATCAACGGTGGCTAACAATAGTGGAAGGAGACATGGAGATGCGTGCCTGTATGGGGATGGTGGAGGAACGACCACTTGAGATTTATAATTCTCAAACAATTAACGGGGTTATTGCTAAAATCGATGCTGAATCATATGAAATTGTACATGTTCACATTTTTTAACAAAATTGAATGTTGAACCTCAATGCTAGTGTATTTTCAAATTGTAATGTGTCCTATGAATAGCTCTATAAATAAGTACTATGTGAAATGCATTGAGTCAAATCATGATATCATTCAACACGTTAAAATAAGAGATTTTGAGTCTTTTATTAATTAGGTTATACTGATTTGAATGGGGGGGAAAAGATTTTATATTTTTTTGTCATGTAGTATTGTGTCTAAGTTGTGTTATGATCAAATTTACTCAATTAATATCTTTCTAATTACAGTAAAGTATAATTAAATTTAGAACATGTGTAATTGATTTTGTAGTAAACGATTTATTAGTAGTGTTCCACAAGTAAAGTTATTTAGGTCTCCAATCGATTAAAATTATATATGATGATACAAAAAATAAAATCGTCATATAAGATGAACCTACGTGGCAAAGGAACCACCAAGTTGAGAAGAAGACTCAACTTACTCAATAGCAAGAGGTCAAGACAACTTAGTTCTATTAGCATTTCAATTCGGGTTGATAGTTTCTCAAAATGAGCTCTGAGTTGGACCACAAGAGGAAAAGGAATAAAGTAAGTCGGACCACAAGTGTAAAACCCAACACCATATCCCATCCAAGGATAAGGTCACCGATGCCACACCATTTACTTTTAAAATGTCGTGACATGTTCAGGAGAATGTAATCTCTAACGACAAAATATTTCTTTCAATATACTAACAAACTAAGGGACCATCCCATTATTGTTTGAGAATCACCCTATTAGATTATATAAATAGGGAAACATTTGCCTTGTAACATAGAGTTGAACACTTACACACATAAAAAACTGTAACTATATTCTTTCCCACCAAGTAATATAAGTCACAGGAGCAAAATACTCAATTGTAGTAGATTAGTTAAAATTTTCAGTTGGTAAAAGACCGAAACCACCTGTGTTTGTTGATTTCCATGATTGATTTACTTGTTCTTTCTCTATATCCGAATTATTTACAAATGTATAATTGTTTTTAAATAAATTTACTAATTTAAGGCAGTTTTGAATTTGTTTATTAATTTACGACACTTTTTGAAAGTAAGGTCAATAAATATGTTTTTATTTATTATGATACTTTTTGAAAACGGAGTCAACAAATCTGTTTTTTAAGATTATAATAAAGCCCAATTGAAAGCGAGTTTGTTAACTCCACTTTTGACATGAAAGCAAATTTATTAACTCCACTTTCAAAAAAAATGTTTTTTATTAATAAATAATTCCACTATATCCCCTATAATTTACATATTCACCTTAATGGAGAGTTATTTAGCCTCCCTTTCCCATACACCCATATTCTTAGCACCATCGATATCTAATAATTTTTTGTATCGAATTTAAGAATAATATCAACTTACGGATTGAAATTGAGGTAGAGTCTGACCAAATTGATGTTATCCTCCTATTTTTTCGAATTATTCAATTTCTTGAGACATTGGAAAAAAACAAAAAAAAACAAATAATTATCCTTCTAATATATCTGACCAAAAATAGTACTTTTAATTTTTCTGATTAAATAAAGATGGCGGGAAATGGAGTATTGTCCCTCACACGCTTCTTCCCTATATAAACACCAACCCGCCACAGTCACAATCAACTTTTCAAACCCCCTCTCCCTCCCCTCCCCTAGGGTTTCCAATAAATCCTCTCTCACTCCAAATCATGCAACTTCGAATCGATTGTGTGTTCTTGTGCCTCACATAGCTTAGTTCCTAGTTATATTTAGGGCTTTTAATTTTCGTGTTAACCATCAGATGGGTAATAAAGTCCCCGATGAACTGATTTCAACGGTTCGGTCTGTCGTCGGTCACGACTATTCGGACATGGACATCATTCGAGCCCTTCACATGGCCAACAATGACGCCACAGCGGCAATTAACATAATTTTCGACACTCCTTGTGTTAAGAAGTCCGAAATTCCTAGAAGCCCCCAAGTTTCAAATCGCAATTTGAGCTCCGAGACTCGAAATGGTACAGCAAATTCAAAGCGTTCTATGATTTCTAATTCAAATGGGGTAGTAAACCCTAAAAGTTCGGTTGATAGGGATTGTGGTAGTGAGAACGTGGAGGATTTGAGTGGGTGTTCGACTTCGATGGGGGAAGAGTGGTGGTTTGTGGGATGTGGTGAAGTTGCAGGGTTGTCGACCTGTAAAGGGAGGAGATTGAAGCCCGGTGAAGAAGTGAATTTTACGTTTCCATCGGAGAGGAAATTTGGTTCGCCTTCGCCTGGCAAGTTCGGTGGTGGTAGGGGGCGACAAGTGGCTGCGTGTTCTGAGATTGTGAGGTTCTCTACAAAAACTTGTGGGGAGGTAATGTCCAAGGACCATTTTAATTCCTTCGTGATTATATAGGAATTATTTTGTATCATTGTTACAGTGAATCATTTGTATACTCATCATGAAATAGATCTTTTTTTAAAAGTGGATGAAACAGAAGTGGTGCGAAAAAATTTGGATGAGTACATGAAAGTAGGTTTTAAAAAGTGAAATGGAAATAAGAGGGATTTAGGACTTAATTATGGATATATATAAAATGCAACTAGTGAAGGAGGAATATAAACTATGAAAGGCTACAAATGAGTGATCAATGTGTGTTGATTTTTAACGAATTTGTATGCATAACACTGATGTGGTTTTGGGCAGATTGGTCGTATACCAAATGAGTGGGCTCGATGTCTTCTGCCACTTGTGAGGGGTAAGAAGGTACGGGTCAAAGGGTGTTGTAAATCTGCTCCTGAAGTGTTGGGCATTATGGACACCGTTCTTTTGTCTGTCAGGTGTGCTCCTGGTGAAGCAATTTCTGCAGTTTTCTATTTTATTACGTGGAAGACATGTAAGTATTTATTTGATACACAGTATTCAATAATACTTTTACCTTTGTATGATACACAGTGTGTACATCGATAGTTCAATGTTCCGCAAAAGCCACCAGACTTCACTCAAGGTAGCCGCCAATTCGGCAGATGAATCAGTAGTTCACCCTCTCCCGACTTTGTTTCGGTTGCTTGGACTAACCCCTTTTAAGAAGGTGATTTTTGATATATGAGTGTTGACTACCTCTTTGAGAGTTTGCTGGTGTTCTTTTTTTGTTGATTCAATATGTGCAATACATATATAAACACCATAAAGCTGGCTATATATGGGATTTAGCATCTTTGGCTTTAGAAGACTGTATTCTGATTTTTTTACCTCCCTCTATCCAATGAGTATCTCATTCATTTTTGCTTCATTGAAATTAGGCAGAATTCACTCCTGCTGATTTGTACACAAGAAAACGACCTTTGAACCCAGAGGTGAGTAACAAATTTAGTAGCTGGTCCAACTCTGTTTGCAATGGATTCTAGAGCTTCACTTGTCTTGAACAGGACCATTCTGGTGTTCCTGCATCATTGTTGCATGGCAACAAATTCAAGCACCCATCATCTCTGAATGAAAATAAAGTTGATAATGAGGAGTCTATTTCAGACACTGATCTTGACAACATTGTTGGCGTTGCCAATAGCACTGAGTTAGAGGTACTGTCATTTTAGGCTGTCATTCAGCGTTCATGGAGCTTGCACATGCATATTGCAGGTGAAATCATTCCATGACGTTTTTTTTTCTAGGAAATGGAACCTCCTACCACCCTTCAATGTGAGCTTCGCCCTTACCAAAAGCAGGCTCTTCATTGGATGATTCACTTGGAGAAGGGACAACACATGGATGAGGCGGCAACAACTCTCCACCCGTGTTGGGATGCTTATCGCCTTGCAGACAAGTATGCAGATTTTTTGTTTTATTTTGTGGTCCTGTAGTTAGTATGTATGATGATCTCTCTATATGACAGGGTTTTGTTTTTTTCTAGGAGGGAGCTTGTTGTCTACTTAAATGCATTTTCAGGTGATGCCACAACTGAATTTCCAAGCACCCTTCAAATGGCCAGAGGAGGGGTATGTGCCTCTCACTCTTTCTCTCTCTCCTGGCATTTTGCAGTTAAAGTTTTCAGTGTCTTGACTTGAGGATAATTTTCAAGATTTTGGCAGATTCTATGGGGCTCGGGAAGACTATCATGACCATAGCTCTCCTTCTCACCCATTATGGAAGAGGTGGATCAATAGGTAGCCAATCCACGAGTCAACCCTATGGTGAAAATAGTGAAGTCAACAGTACTTCAGATCAATCTCCAGCTCTCCTAAAGAAAGCAATGAAGTTTTCTGGTTTTGATAAACTTGAGAAGCAAAAAACCTCACTTATTGGTGGTGGCAATCTGATTGTATGTCCTATGACCCTTCTAGGGCAGTGGAAGGTACATATGCTGCCATAATTCGATTCAATGTTACGGATTTCCATAAGAATCAAATTGACACGTGCTTGTTCATTCAATTGGAATGCCCCCTAAAGTTGAATCTGTTGTTTATCTGTAGGCAGAGATTGAAACTCATGCACAACCTGGGTGTTTCTCTCTTTATGTTCATTATGGACAAAGTAGACCAAAGGATGCAAAACTTCTAGCTCAGAATGATGTTGTACTAACTACCTATGGAGTGTTAGCCTCAGAATTTTCAACAGAGGTAGCTTGAAAGTCTCTCTTCCTTTTTTGTGGCAAAGTTATGAGCATTTGGTGTTTCATCCTGCCACGCATAACAAAATGAGCCATTGTAGCTCTCTCCTATTAATTGTTTGTCTTATTTTGTAGAACGCTGATGAAAATGGTGGACTTTATTCTGTGAGATGGTTTAGAGTAGTGCTTGATGAGGCACATACTATAAAGTCTTCTAAAAGCCAAATATCTACAGCTGCAGCTGCTCTTATTGCTGATCGTCGATGGTGCCTTACTGGTACTCCTATCCAGGTATATTTGGTGCTGCTCATGGTGCTTTTTCTTTTATGGTTCCTGTACACGTCTTTGTGTGGGTGACTCTCATCAATTTATGCTTTCTTTCCCAAAATAAAATACTGCACAAATGATTTGGGAAATTAGTTGGTCAGACATTTTCCTTGTTACTGGTTTTAAACAGATATGGATGCTTATGGTCGTTAATAGAATTTCCTTACGTGTCCATTGGTTCTTTTGCCATGTCTGCATGATCCGATAATCTCACACTATAAGATCATTAAGACGTGTCAATTTGAAACTTGTTATGCCACTTTAAAGTGTATTTTATTTTTATTAGATTGGGTTGATGCCAGAAGCATTTTGTCGCTGTTAACTTCTATTTGGATACGCTTGATGTATTATACTTTTGTCACAAGGTCATCCTTCAAGTAGTATTGACATTTTCTCAACATATGCATTTCGTATTTGTGTAGCATGGTGGCAAGTTAATTTGTGAGTTTTGATTTTCTAATCATGCAGTGACCCCTTGAAGTCTGGCACTTGAGCTGATATGAATTATGTCTCTTGCATATGCTGAGCTTGTAAAGTTCTCCTTTTGTTTATATAAAACAAATGCGCTGCAGGGCTTTTTAATGGGTTACTAAGAAGGATTTATTTTTATTTTGATGATCATCAGAGCTGTAGTACTGTATCTTTTTCCTTCAAATGAATTGTGGTTACTTATGTTGTCTGATAATAGTGTTATCCTGTCATAGAACAAACTGGAGGATGTTTACAGTCTTCTTCGATTTTTGAGGATTGAACCATGGGGAAGCTGGGCGTGGTAAGTTTTACCTTCCCTTTTTATGTCAAGTCACTGATATTGGGTTTAGATCTTTGTTGGAAACATTAAGTTTGTATTGATTTTTCGATAGTCCTAGTGTAAGTATTTTTGCGTCTGGTTTGAAATCTTTGGTTCTGAGAAACTTTGCTGAAGATTTTTAGAAGTTTTGGATATTGAATTTGATTTATGACAAAATAACTGTTTTTTTAAACTCTTATCTTTTCAACTCTAAAGTGTTTTCTTTCTTTTCAACCTTTGACATATTGCGGTCTGGCATGCACGCATCATGCTGAGATCCCTTTTTTCCCTGTGTTTTTTAACATCTTGGAATTTTAAAGGGAACCTTTGCAAAAGTACGCATTTTCTGAGACTTTCATATTGCTGAAAAAAATGTGGAAAGGAATGCAGTTTATGGATCCCTGGTTGAGTATTGCAAACATTTTTGTGGTAAATGTTTTATGAGCAAAAGATTGGTTACTCTGATATGTGAGAGATCTTCCTATTGATATGCTATATTTAGAACATGAGCTCAGAAAGTGACTATGATTATATTTGAATACGGAAGAAATAACAGAAGTTTTTAACGTTAGTTCATCATGATATACTTACATCCACCATTGTTAATGTGAAAGGGTGATATGCAGTTGGTATGCCTGAACTTGAGATTGAGGAAATATGTTATGTAGTTGTGTACAGAACAAATAATACGTTTCTCAGATGATGTTCTCCATTTTACTTTAAATCAACCATCAGTAACATGGTATTAAGCAAGCTGCTATCTTAGACATCTCATGCCCTCCCTCACACTTTAGTAAAACACAACATGAACTCATGTCCTTTTGGAAATTATTCTCGAGACATTACTTTTACGAGGTTTATGGAAAACATAGTTAATGCAGCATTGTTGCTTTTATTTGTAGTTTCTGTCTTTTAGAGCCAGCTGTCATAAGTAATATGTCCTCCTATATAATCTAGGTGGAATAGACTTATTCAAAAACCCTTTGAGGAGGGTGATGAGAGGGGGTTAAAGTTGGTCCAATCCATCTTAAGGCCAATTATGTTAAGAAGAACAAAGTTCAGCACAGACCGAGAAGGCAGGTAAGGACCAGCTAACTAACATCTTAATTCTTAAGTAATCCTTTTGGTATGTCCGTTTCAATTATTTTGTGGTTGCAGGCCAATTTTAGTTCTTCCACCTGCAGACACTAAGGTGATTTATTGTGAACTAACGGAAGCTGAAAAGGACTTCTATGAAGCTCTATTTAAAAGATCTAAGGTATTTCATATAAATGGTTCTCTTTCTTGCAGTAATCATTTGTAATGACATTTTTCTAACCTTTTGATATGAATTTCTTCAGGTCAAGTTTGATCAATATGTAGAGCAAGGGCGGGTTCTTCACAATTATGCTTCTATTTTGGAGTTGCTCTTGCGTCTTCGCCAATGTTGTGATCATCCATTTCTTGTGATGAGGTTTGACTTTTATATTTTGGCATGCCTCTTTTTGCTTAACTAGAGTGCTGGACTATCTTTGTGTAGTAGGTTTTTCCTACAATCTAAAGTATTTTGTCAAGAATAAATTTGTGCATGAAAATAAATTATGAGCTTTTGGTGACCAAGCTTTACTAATAAGCCTTCCAAAATGCTACTGATGTCACAAAGTATAAACAATCTGAATATATATTGCCATAAATCGCAGAACTTGTGAAACTTTGGACTATTTGGTGAAATTTAACCCGATCAATTTCTGGTCATCCAATCGATGTGTAATCTATGAATATTTTTCTCAAATCTCCCAGAAGCTTGTCCTCCATTTCACAGCTATGATCCTGGATTGTCCGAAATGTTATTGACTGATGGTTGGAGTTAACTTGTTCCTATCTACTGTTGGTTTTACTTCCAAATATATTTACCCATCAGAATAGTTGTTTGATTGGTTGCTTTGATGTGTAGTCGAGGTGATACTCAAGAGTTCTCAGACCTGAATAAGCTTGCTAAACGTTTCCTTAAGGGCGGTGGTGACATTGTTGAAGGGCAAGCTAAAGACGTGCCTTCACAGGCATATATTCAGGAGGTTTTGGAAGAGTTACGCAAGGGGGAGCAGGGAGAGTGTCCAATATGCCTTGAAGCTTTTGAAGACGCTGTGTTGACTCCATGTGCTCATCGCTTATGCCGAGAATGTCTATTGGCAAGTTGGCGAAGTCAGACTTCTGGTCTTTGTCCTGTTTGTAGGTACTTGTTAAAGGGTTTTTGTGTTTACTATTCTCGTCAAAAACAGAAGAAGAAAGGATAGAAAAAGAGAAAGGAAAGATGGGGAAAGACAGCTAAACCTTAGAACAATAATGTCCTTAGTAGTGGGATTTTACTTTCTGAATAATGAAATAACTTCTTTTATTCGCAGAAAGACTGTCAACAGGCACGAGCTTATTACTGCACCGACTGGCAGTAGATTCCAGATTGATATTGAGAGAAATTGGGTGGAATCATCAAAAGTTTCTTCTCTGTTGTGTGAATTAAGAAATCTTTGCTCAGTGGGCTCTAAAAGCATTGTTTTCAGTCAGTGGACTGCCTTCTTAGACCTATTGCAGATTCCTCTTTCTCGGTAATAATTTCTTGCTTTTTTAAGACTTTCACCAATATTTTTTGGCTGTGTGAAAGCATCATTATGCTTTCATTATTTTTTTGCATTCATAGGAATGTTTAGTAATTAATATTGTTGAAGGCATATTTGTATTACATGCGGAGAATTGGAAAATTATGGAGTGTATTTTTTTATCATTGTGGACATATTGAATGGCGATGAATTGAGTTGTAGTCCAGTTAAATGAATGGAGGCATATTTTCAGGCTCATGTATGGAGGGGAGGGGGGATGTAGGTGAAATGATGTAGTTGGTAAAAAAAGATTTTGACATTGGTTATTTTAGTTTTACTGAAATCATTTTTCACTTTCAATTTTCTTTTCTCTTGGATGAATGTTTCTAAACTTCCATTTGTTCTGTTGGTCATGGGATCTAAATATGCTTGTTTTTTTTTGATAAAAGAAGAATTTTATTATAGAATGGAAAAAGGAGAAAACAAATTACAATATTGGGGACAAGATATCCTCTAAAATAAAAAGAAAACACAAAAACATATCAATGAAACATCAGGTGGAGTTTTTTCAATGATCCCTATTAGATCCTAAGTATCATCTGGTGGCTTCCATCAATTGGAGTTTTTCCTCCAAAACTGAATGGTGGGGTTTTTTTTAATTTGTTTTGGATGTGTTCATGTTTGTCCAGGAATAACATTGTGTTTGTTCGTCTGGATGGGACTCTAAATCAGCAACAGCGAGAGAAAGTAATAAAGCAGTTTTCTGAAGAAAATAACATCCAGGTCTGTCAGTCCAGATTTGCATTGGGAAAGAAGAATGGAATAATGATCTAGATTATGATTGTTTAATCATCTGAACTTGGTGTTATACAGGTGTTACTAATGTCATTGAAGGCTGGTGGAGTTGGAATAAACCTAACATCCGCATCTAATGCTTTTGTCATGGTATGTGCAAGTGTTTCTTTCTTCCTATTTATGGCTATTGACTTTTGATGTTAGTTCCAGTAAGTGTGGGAAAATAATTTTGTAGTTCTATCCTTCTTTCAGTAGAAGTAACTTACAGGTGCAAGTTTTGTGACAACATGTGCAGTTAAGATTGGAAGATTTGTGGCCACATTGGTTAGGTTGTGTCGGAACTTGTCAATATTATCCTATCTAATAGTGGAAATGGAATTTGACCGATATGGCTTATTTTTTGTCCTATGTATCAAAAATTTATTTGAAATGTGTCTGTTATATTGTTACTTGGCTGTTGGTCAATAGGAAAAGGATTAAGAACCACCACTTCCAGACAATAATACCAATCACAACCCAACAAGAACAAATTGCGATATCAACAACCAAGATAACAACAACAATAATATTAACTTTAAAACTTTTCTTTTGGTGGAAAAGGACTTTAGTTTTTGTCATAAGGTAAAGGATTTCCTAACTTCCCTGTCACTTTTCTATGTTTAATATTAGTCTCAACCTCAACTGAGGTGTTTGGGGCCAATTTAGTCCCATTGACTAGTAGAGCATTGGTTTTTTCTTGAGCACTGTTATTTTTGAGAATATTCTACTACATTATGAGATATTATGAAAAGTACTTTCGACACATATAGGCTTGTGTTGAACATGTTGTGTGATAATCTTGAATAGTTTTCACACATGATGGATGGGGGGCCATGAGTTTAAGTTTGAAAGCAGCTACTTCATGCAAGCAATGGCAAAAGCACGGGCTACCTGCTACCAAGCATGGAAGCGTGAGTTTGAGAGCTGCTACTTCATGGAATGCTGAAGACTGCTTTTACAATTTCATGTCTCATAACACTAGGATGGGGACTGATACTGGTTAAGGTCGACATGGATGAAATTTTCAACCAATCAGATTCAAATACGTTAAAGCATTCAACTCAACCAATGAATGGAAAGGCTCATATACTAGTCTAGGAGGTATTATTTTCTAGATGTATTACGAACTCTCAACACACCCTTGCATGTGAGATCCCCAACTTGCACGTAAGGAGGCAGGCAAAAGATATTGATAAAGTGCATTTATGACAGACCAAGAGGGAATCAATTGTTATGGATATATATTTTTATCTTTTTTGTTTTGAGCATGATATCCATATGAATTGATATGAATTGATATTGATAGAGTGTTGCCCACAGGTTTCTGTCTAGCTTCTGTTTGTTAAATAGACCAAGAAACTTGTATTACAACTATGCCACACTCAGTTTAGCTCAGCTATAGTATGATTTTTTTATTTGCATCAACCAACAAACTACCATACTCGTACAAAGCTTCCAATGTACAAAAAAGGCACCCTCTACATATTTCAAACTAACCCTGATCTCATCTATGTTCGCAAAGGTTAGCAACTGATCAATTTAAGTCTCCCTTGACATATGTGGGTTTCATGATGCTCTTCTTGCTTGCCTTTGATTGGTGATGATCTGAGGAGATCTGCACCAAAATAATCTTGAAAATAATGTTGAAGAACAAAAAAAGGGATGAAGGGAGATTCATGTTTAAGGCGTACCAATAAATGCCAATACATGGCTCTTCATCTTTTTACTCTTTTGCTTGCTATCTGTCCCTTCTGGAGGAGGGTGGGTGTTTTCTCTCCTTAATTAATATGCAAGTTCATCTTGTTATATAGTTGCATTTGCATGTTCAGAATGTGATTCAGATTGATTTTCCCGATTTCTCTTTTTTCTTCGTCTCTAATTTAAGTGCGATGCCAATGAGTTTATGCTCAACTTTCCTGTAGGATCCATGGTGGAATCCAGCTGTAGAGGAGCAAGCTGTCATGCGCATTCATCGCATTGGACAAACTAAAAGGGTAATGATAAGGAGATTTATTGTGAAGGTACATATCTTAATCTTTTCTTCTGCTCTCTACACCCGTAGCCAGGACTCTATTTTGTAAGTTTTTCCGCCATTTGTTTTATAGCACGTGAAGTAAAGAGCTGAAGCAGGCCATTTGTGACTGAACTAAACATTGAGAACCTCTGAGAACATAGATCTGATTGTGTCATATCTCCTAAGTTGGTTTGGCCCCACATACCAGTCCAAATTTAAAAGACAATCAAAATGTGCTGTGAAGTGGAAACACTCACATTGATGTTCTTGGACTGCAGGGAACAGTTGAAGAAAGAATGGAGGCAGTGCAAGCCCGGAAGCAGCAGATGATCTCAGGTGCTTTAACTGACCAAGAAGTCCGAACTGCACGTATCGAGGAACTTAAAATGCTTTTCACCTAGTCCAGAGAAGGGAATACTGCCTCCATCTGTCACTAATACTGGAACAGCTGATGGGTTCCAACTTTTTGCTCGTGGTATTTTCCAAACCAAGAGTTATGAATGGGACATATAGTCGATGGGACATGTCCTCACAACGTTGATATGTAGATGGCCGGAACCTATCCCAATCTGAGCTGTGTTCTTTGCTCCTTCGAGCCAAGCATGTGGATTGATAACAAGGCGAGGCGTTCCAAGTATGTACAACTATCAATCTGTCATTGTTGCTTTAGTCTTATACCAGAACTATTGTTGGGATCAGTTGCAGAATAGGGTTTATGTCCTGGCATACGATTGAATTTGAAATCAGGCAAGGTTTCTTCCTTGTTGACTCAAGGTGAAGAACATGCAGGAAAGAGCATATGCGGATATTTTTTACTCTGTTTAAGGATGGAGAACCTGAATCAGATTCAATATATATATATTTTTTTGTATATTTTATTTTAATTGTATTGACATTATGAGATATTTTAATTTTCCGGTAAGTGGCATGTTCAGTGCTAAAATACTGCCACTGATATGAAAAGCAGGAACAAACAGTGTTAAGTACTTGTAGGACCATCGCCATAAGAAAACTGGTTATTTAGTTTTATCCCATCTCGACTCAGCCCATCAGTTATAAAACCTGTATCGTTTATATTCACTAATTAATTTCAATTTTATTTTAACCTTCTATATAAGCAATGATTAACATTTTATTTCAAGTGAAATAGAAAAAAATAAAAAATAAAAAATAAAAATAATTTTTAAAATATTAATTGAAATACATTAAAATACTTCAAAATATTTTGATGACATTGATAAAAATATATCAAAATTTTCTATTGATCTTTTCAATAAATGACACATAATTAGAAATTGTTTTTAAAGGGTATCACCAAAGGGGTATCTCTAAGGGCCATAATGAAGATTTATCCGATTATGAAGATTTATTTGGCAAGTGTTTGATACATTCGGATAGTGATTGCATGTATTTAGACTTGTCAATGGAGTATACTTGAATTAATGTATATGATTAAAATTTGATTCGAAAATTTAGCTTCAATGGGTACATTTAAGGAATACAGTTCATAGGTCTAAATTAGTAGCTCATCTTATGCAATGCAAGAGATTATAATTCCTGTCTTTTTTTTTTATTAGTTATTCCTTTTTTTTTTCTTTCATCCTATCACTTGAGAAGTTAGATGAATAATTAAAAAAAAAAATTAAGTGGTAAAAAGTAATTCTTTTGAATGAATTTTAAAAATAGTGGTCTAGTATTGAGTAATTGAGGAGTGGTTATCTATATTTATCTATTTATTTATATTTATATTTATACCACTAATAAAAGTATCTTAAAATAAAAAATTTTAAATATCTATTTTATCTTTTTAAAGGATTATAAAGACTATTATATCATTTCACAATCAAATATTTAAATTATATCCTTATGTATTTAAAATTTTAAATTATCTATAACATCTTTTTTAATTATTTAATCGGTTTCTATAAAAAAATTAATTGATTATATTCCCTTAAGATAAAAATTAATTGTATATATAGTTTTTAAAATCAAATTATATTGTATTAGTATCATTCTTTAGTCAACATAATTTTTTTTAGTTTTTCTAAGATTTTATGTAAAAATAGATATTGTAATGCATTTTTAAGTAAAATTTAATTTTTTTAGAATTTTAATATGTTTGATAATATATTTTATAGTAATATATTAAATCTTATATCAATTGACTTAACTAATTCATAATTATAGTAAGGTTCTAATGTGATTAGTATATTGATAATTATTTTTATTTTTTTTCAATAATTACAAGTGGAATTCTAATTAAATGAATTTCAAAAATTTTAATTTCGCAAACATCATTAACAAGTCAATCTCAATCATAATATTCTTAAAAAAATAAAACTTTAACTATTTTTTAATAGTTAGAATAAAAAATTTTAGAAATATATAAAATTTTAATAATCGTATAATAGAATGAATAATAAAAAATAAAAAATTAAATTTGATAAATATGAGTTAATATTTAATTCAGATATATATATATATATATAATATTTTATTAATTTTTATGTAGAAAAATTATTACTAATAATAAATGATAAATGGTAGCATCTTGATTGGAGAGTAGCTGCCGTTTGCACTCGATATTTGCTCCTCCTCCCCCCCCCCATCAGGCATGTACGCCTTCCCTCATCTCTCTCTCGCTATCTTACAGCTTACCAAGCCACATCGCTGCCGTCACTGCCAAACAAGCATATACGCCTCTTTGCTCCCATATCTGCCCTTACTCTCTTCTCCCTCGTTCACTTCTCCCTCTCACCCTACCACACCAAAGCGCCGCCGCCAAACAGCCCTCCCAGGTATTTCTCCATCCCATCCCCTCCTTTCCCTCTCCTCTCCTCTCTGCTTCTCCCACACACACGCAGAACGCACTCACTCTGTTAAACCCCAACCCCCTTCCTCCCCTGCCCTCTCCTCTCTGCGCAAACCCCCTCCTCCTCCCAAGCATTCGTCACCCAGACCAACGACCCCTTCCTGCACATAACCTGTTTGATGAAATGCCTATAAAAAAAAAAAAGTTTTCACCACCACCATGCTTGTTGAACCTGCAAATGATACAAAAAGACGATCCCACCATGATTATTGAACCTCTAGCCATTAGTTATTCCTATGGTTTGAGTGGGAAGATGAATTTCATTTGAGCCGTGCATAGTTAAGAATCATCCACTTAATTTTAATTTTTAATATTTTTTTGTCAAAAGTTTTGATAAGGAGACGGTGCTTGGAGTGAATTGTTTGTTCAAAACTGCTTCAGTAAAGTTTTGGTTCTTGCATCTCTCTCTCGATTCTCCCTCTCACGTGAAGCGTTTTTTGGCTGTGAAGATTGGTGGACCTACAATAAGAGCGACCGACCGAATGAGTTCAGAGAAAGAGGAAGCCTCCGTAGCTCGACGGCGATTATCATGCGCCACCTGCTTCGATGCTCTCTGGTTTTGCTACTGTACGCCATCTCCCTCTGTGTCTTCTGATTTAATTGTTATGTTCTGCATCTGCACGTATTCGTCATGTTTTTTAAGTGATTCATCTCTGATGAAAACGTCTAAAGCTTGAGTTCTCAAATATGTACTCGAACTCAATCTCTGACCTAAATTGTCACTCGAAGAAAGAAAATCAACCCAATTAGGTGAAAATTCTGCATCATTACCTTGGTGAATGACTCCGGGTCAAGTATGATACATCGAATTTCTTGAATATCTAGTCCTGACGTGACATAATTTGAGAAATACAGTACTGCAATAATTGATTTCGTTTAGATATTCAAACCCGCCCGTAAGGAACTTATCTAAGAGAATTATTCATTGCATACTTTTATCTCTCTGTTTCCAAAGGGTAAAATCTTAGCATCTTTAGTTTGATATTTTGTTTTGGTCTGAATCAAAAACTTCACCTAGGCTACAATATAGTTACTGTAACAATGAGAATAAATTTGGGACTGATTTTTGATGACCAAACAAGCCTTTTGATGTAGATCGTATTAGCTATAATACCAAATTGATGTAGATCGTAGTAAGGAAGAATTAGAGATGAGAAGGGAAGAAGAAGGGGATGAGAAAAGAAGAAAAAAGAGATGAGAACAAAGAGATAATTTGAAGAAGAAGGATTCAATATCAATAATCAATAATAATTAAAAGTCTAGTCTCTCAACAAATATGTATTTCCTATATATATAAAGAGTTCACAAATCCTATATATATAAGGAGATCACAAACTCTAAAATAAATAAATAATCAAAATGACAAATAAACCCTTAAAAGGTAAAAGAAAATTCTTAAAAGATAAATACTAAATTATTCTCATAATTTATCTAAAATATCTATCTAATTCCTATATGATCCCCATCATTCTCCTCCGGTTGAGACAAACTCTCCTCCAGAGAATATTCAAAGTATAAGTACCCTATGAGAGCAAAACGAAGATGACAGAACGCTTCATCTAGAATGAAAGAACCATCAATATCTTTCCATAGATTCGAATAATGCAAGAATCTTCATTTGTAGCAATATAAATCTGGTCACGTAGCACATCATCTATTTGTCCCAAAATACGCGATGGAAGTAGAAAGATAAGGACTGAAGCTAATGTTGAGAAAGAAACAATGCCACCTCTAGAAACACCTGATAATAAAATAGGAGACTCTAGAATACCTCGATTAAGTAGCATGTTTTCCAAATAAAAATCTGGATTAATATTAACATTCAATGCAAATAAGTATTAGATCCAAACTCAAGAATAACAAAATAATTCTCATTAGATTTGAACAAAAGACATTCAGTGAACAAGACATGAATGACAAAGGAGTAACTATAACACCCTGGTGCTGAAAATATGAAAATAAAGATTCAATTGAACATTTGACATTAGGCAAAGAATCAAGTTAACACTCTCAAGTGGGACAGAATTTAGAACAATTTCAACAATCTCAGGTTGGGAAGAATCCGTAACCATGTCATGATGACTTGGACAAGTAGACACAGAATAGTCATTAGTAGATTCTGCAATAAATGACTCGATTGGCTTAATATCTTGTACAGGTGTAGACTCAATAGACTTTTTCACAATTTTTAGAACTAATGATGGTTCAAGAATTGGCATAAGCAAAGACTCACACACACTTTCTTTTGAAATGAACTCTTGTGGGTGCAAAGGAGGAGGATTCTGATATGACGAAACTGAATGAGGGAGTTGAAAGTCTATATAAATAATATTTTTCTCTTTATCTGATACTAAAATATCTAAATTCTTTGTCACACTCGGATTAGGAAAGCATGCAGAAACAACATGGACATCGTTTAAGTAATCATGATACTTATATGTGATGGAATTAAAATTGAAAGATGTCCTATCAACAGGCTGTGATTGAAAACCCATCAAGGAATAGTTGAATTTCTTATGAAATCTCTCAACCTTTAGAGCATATTGATAGGCTTCAACTAATGTAATAAAAATGTATTACTTGACCTCCCTACTAATTTTGTGTCTCAATCTAAGAATGAACTGGTCAATTATCCAAGGTTCTTCAACAATGTCATATAAGTACATGAGATAATCAAACTGGACAAAGTAATCACAGACACTAGAAGAATGTTGTCTAAAATTGAGCCATTGGTCATAGACTTGATCCATATAGAAAGTAGGGAAATACTTCACTTTAAATATATATCTCATTTCAACCCAAGTGATAGGTGATTCTCCAAAGGGATCTAGGCTTCTTTGAATTGTTTGCCAATACTTCTTGGCAAAACCCTTAGCAAAACGGACGCAATGGGAATTCGACATGCCATGCCAATCAAAATATTCTTCTAAATTAGCTAACCAATTCAAGAATTGATTAGGATCTAAAGTGTCACTAAATATAGAAAGATCTTTGACTATTGTGATCATATGGGTTGACTCCCTGTAAACATCCCTAGACTTTTTATGATGATGACCTCGACAAGAGACTCTTGAAATATGTGCATGAGATGAACTCATGAGTGACTCTTGAAAGATGAGTATGGTATAAGAACAAATTTAAGAATGCGATTGATAATTACGAGGAGTGGAAAAACTTAAATAGAAGAAAATATATTTTGGACCCTTTGCAAATTCTCTAATTGCCCAATGAATAAAAAATATTAGTCTCAAATTTCTATGGGAGTATGCATACCATTATCAAGAGGAAATTTTGAAGCTTTTTGGGGATGATTCTGTAATTTTATGGATTTGTTGGGCATGTTTCTGTAATTCTGGAACTTCTGGAGTGATGTTTCTAAATTTTCTGAATCTGCTGGGATGTTTCTGTAATTCTAGAACTCTTGGATGGTGTTTCTAAATTTTTTTGAAACTTATGGGGTAATTCGATAAATTTCTGTAACTTCAGGAGATTTTTTTGCAATTTTGAAATTTTCTGGGATTTTTTTATAATTCCTGGAACTTCTAGAGTATAACCTCTTCTCCTTCGTGCCTATAGCTGAAATCCTTTTTTTTTTTTCTTTTTCTTTCTACTGCACAGCCCTTTTGATTTTTGGATTTTTTTTTTTAACTGGACAGTGGGATGTTGGCTGGCTCGATGAACAGTGCCGCGATATGATTTTTTTTTTTTTTTTTTGCGATTTGTACAAATCGAAGTTGGGCTCTAATACCAAATTGATGTAGATCGTATTAGTTCTGATACTAAATTGATGTAGATCGTAGTAAGGAAGAATTAGGGATGAGAAGGGAAGAAGAAGGGGATGAGAAAATCAGAACAAAGAGAGAATTTGAGAAAGAAGGATTCAATATCAATAATCAATAATAATCAAAAGTCTAATCTTTTAACAAATATGTATCCCCTATATATATAAGGAGTTCACAAATCCTATATATATAAGGAGATCACAAACCTTAAAATAAATAAATAATCAAAATAACAACTAAACCCTTAAAAGTTAAAAGATAAATACTAAATTACTCGCATAATTAATTTAAAATATCTATCTAATTCTTATACGATCCCCATCACCTTTGAATATCTCGGCCAGTCCTGAATTCCACTTGTTTCCCAGCCTATATTACATCTCGACTTATTTGACTGTTTCACAAATGTGGGGAACTTTTCTAAAAAAAAGAATTGTTGAACATGGAGCAATTGCTTGAGATGTGTTCATTGCTGTTGGTTCTCTGAGTATATTATTATTATGACCTTTCTCTCCATCTTTTATATGTTAGACTTCTCTCTGCACTTGTCATAATCTCTAATGGGGCAGTAGTACTTTCTATGTTCTTGGTTATTCTCTTGCCAGCGTAGCAGATTCTTTTTCCAGGTAATTTAACTGGCTCTCTTAAATAAAAATACTCGTGGTTAGTTCTTAGATTTTCTGTGTGTTTACCACACATGGTTATCCTGTGGTGATTACTTTTCTTTTAAAACTTTAAGGACCTACTACAAAGACCTGTGGGGCTACTTTATCTTGCCTTGAGAGATATTGTGCACCACAACATTCTTGGAAAGCAATTTGTTGGTCTGAATCAAAACATATCCAAGCATACGTGAAAAGAAGTTGGAAACTCAAAATATGGAGACTTACTTTTCCATTTAGCATTGATAAGTAGTAATCTAGAACTGAGACATGCTCTACTTTGCAAAGCAACCTTTTTTCATATTATATTAACTAACTTACCTTTATATGGATTTCCCCTGGGGTTTGTGTCTGGCTTTGTGAATACTAACAATGTAACTAAACATGGGTTGATCTGTGCATTTATCTTTCTAATAGCTGATCCAGAGCTAGGGCTGGCAATGAACTTGCATAAGATATTTAACAGCTAGCAAAGAATCACTTACACGTGAGCAGAAGGCTAGAGACTCTGATAAGGTGCTCGAAGAGCAAGGTCTAGAGGGACTTGGTGAGAGTTGAATGGATTAAGAAATTGGAGGGAGGTAGAGAGTTATTTTATGGCTTTGTCAATCAAACATTTTAGACAAGTTCAGGATTTTGACATATACACAGAAGGTTCTAAGCCTCGATGATTTTGCAACGGAAACATTCACAGGGTAGGAGATGATGAAATTATTTAATTAGATGTTAAAAGTGAAGAAAGTGCCAAATGAGTGGCAAGAATATATTTTGCTAATGTTGAAATTAGGTGGTACTTTACTAATGAGTTGTATGAACCATTGGTGGAGAATCCGAGATTAATGACTATGAGTTGAACCTGTGGTATCGACAACGTTTATGCATGTGCAAATTCATATATGATTATGGAATGTTTAATATTCTAGGCTCAAGAAAGAGATAGGAATCTGAAAAATAACAAGTTCTGATACCTTATGCCCAATCGCACATAGGGATAAATAGATTGGATAGGGTGCTGCTCATGACATATTCAAAAAAGGTTGAAGTGGAAAAGTCCTCGCAAGTTTTGATGCAACTGGGAGGCACCATATTGGTGCTAAGTGGATGTCCTATAATACAGCTATAAAACCAACGTGCCATTTGGGTCAGGATACAATCCAGTTAAGGATGGTACTTTAACCAAACGAATGTGGAATCATTTGAAAACAAGGAAAAGGAGAATTGAACCAAAAGTAGTGTGGTCTAAATGAAGATTTGAGAAGGATGTGTGGGAAAACAAAGAGGACCACATTTGTCGTGCGTTGGAAGTGTGATAATTAGAGATATATGAGGGAACATCCATTAAGACAATGTAATCATGTTTAGTGAAGAGTATGCCCTTCACCGTTCACTAATGAGGACAAGTGACATGTTGCACATTGAGGGAGTTTCTAGGGTGGAGGTAATAAGAAAATTAATAAGGGTCGAGGGTCGATGGAAGTCATCATTGTGAATGGTTTTACTGAACTAATAAACTTGTGTTGTTGAATGTAGAGCAAAATTCATGCATCCGCTCCTAAATAGCTGCAAGCAATCTGTTTCCTTGAGTTATTTATATGAGAAAGGAGCACCATGATGATACACTACTAGCTTTCTTAGAGCCAATTGTAGCAATTGAATGGTTTAATAAGCTTTTGCTAGAGAAGGATGGACTTTTATAGTTACACAATGGTTGTCCTCATCTTCACCGACTTTGGTAAGAAG